CCCTAATAACAGGGGGAAAGAATGATTTAACAATTGGAAAGTCATCAACTATCATTGCTGGGTCTGACCCTTTTCTCAACACACAACCCTTCTAGACTTTCAAAATAACACTCCAGTGACCCTACACAATAAAAGCCTCTATGTTATCCTCATGCATTAATTGATGCAAATGGCTCCACATTATGACCCAAACTCTACCAGCTTGATTCTATTAGACTCTAGGGACCTTTTCACAACATACCCCAGAGCGAATTTCACAATAAAAGTCTCCCATTTATGCTGTAATACATTATCTAATCACCCAATAACATGGAAAACCAGTGATTTCATATTTAGAAATGGATTCTATATCACTGCTGGGCATGACCCTTTCCTTGAAACACATCCATGATAGACTTTCAAAATAAGACTAAAGGGACCCTACAATATAAAAGCCTCTTCCTTACGCACACTCATTCATTGTGCCGTGTGGCTTGTAGCTATGACCCAAAGTCAACAAATTTCTTTAAATTACACTACCAAGGCCTGTTGACCACACACCTCAGTTTACATTTCTTAATAAGGCTCTAAGATTTACACTGTAATAAAGCATCTGCTAACCTCGTAACATGCAGCCTAAGCCTGCCAATGGTGCTTTCATCACCACAGCAGCTCGTCTCATGCAGGTTAGTTTTTTTTTTTATAAATTCAGCTCCTTAAGTGGTATTAGCTCTCTTTCTATAAGCTTCTCTCTCTGTACTTCCTCTGCTTCTCATGGTTAGTCTTGCACATAGGTTTGTAGATTTTCAATCCTCAAATGATGACACTGTTTTCTTTATGCTGATCAACCGACACATTTTAAATAATTTCAAATTGTTTTGCCAAGTCTTGACATTTCCACATATGATTTCAAAATTTTTATACTTATTCAATACCATCTTCCTCATTTTACTTCCCATCCTTAAACTACTACTTTTTTCTTCAACCAGATAAGATTCAAGTTTTTGATAATGGTGATTTGGTAATTTGGTAATTTATTTTCTAATTCAGCTAATTTAATACTTTTCAGCCTATATTGTGAACTTTGGATCCATTCTGCTCTCTTTCTGGACAGGAATTAAGCTCTTCTTTTTGCTGCTAATTCATAACGAGCCTGACATGTTTCTGGAAAGTAGGTGGCCCCCCTTCAAAATTTCTTTAGAACTTTTTCTAGAAACTTGGGTTACATTACATTTAGACCCTTCTAGTGTCCACATTGAACACATTTTTTGATATCATGTATGGTTTGGCAGTGCAGCTTTTAAGATGAGTTTGTTTCTGCCATTTTACTGCCAGATGATTCTACCCTACAAAATCTTCAGATGATTCAATTGTTTTCTGCAGTTTGAAGTTTCTAATGATTTGCTATCACATTTTTTATATGTTTTGCAGTTAATTTCAGTTTTTTTCATTCAGCAAAAGCATTCCCACTTGCTGTTTCTCCGAAACAGCTTTTTCTAGTTGAAGTATAATTTTGTTTAATAAGTTTGCAACATTACTCAATACCGAAAACAACCGACAGCCGAAGGCCCTGGATTCCCGTAGAATTCCTATGGAAACCATGCAGTGAAGCTTTCAGCGGTGAACTCCACGCAGTGAGAGCGTTCACTGCTCCTCCATCACCTCCTGCTCCTAGATGGAGCTGAGGAGTCAGACAGCAGCACCGCATGGAGAGAGAGGAGCGGTGATCGCTGAAGATGGAACCAGCTGAACTTCTCTATGAAAACGCAACATGGTGGCCAATCAGGGACCGGATGGAGGAGAAGCTTTTCTACTTCAAATAAATACATCCTAGAAGGACTGTTGATCATCCTCCCTCACCTCCAGCAGAGCCCAGTCCGCTGAATCAGAGCTGCTCTGGATGAACCAAAGTAGATCTTTATTCCAGGAACTGATGGTCTCCCCAAGGAGAGTCTAAGGTTGTTGATAGAGAACAATTTAGCAGCACTCCGTGATGTTAAGGTTCACCTGGGCTTTTATCCTGAAAGAAATTCTATGGGGTTGCCAGGGGTAACAGTAGGTCCAAAGCAGAGGATCTGGGAGGCTGGAGATTAACTAAACAATCCTTCCAGCCACTAACTAAGGTCGACATGCCCGCTGTTCTATTCAGGAATGACATCTGATGCAATAACTTTACATCAGAAAACCAGCACAGCGCTAACGTCTGCTGGGTTGGTGATGCTGGCATACTTCGCTGGTGCACACGACCCATATACGCCTTAGACATCAACGTGGACGACCCGGGTTTGAATCCAACCTGTGGTCCTTTGCCGCATGTCTCTCCCCTTCCCTCGTACCCAGTAGTGTAGGGTCCCTGGACATTCTCTCAATTTTTTTAATGAAGCCTAGAAACTGTTACATGTCAGACCACTTTATGTAGTTTACCCAATAATTCCTTTATAGTATTTACTTAATTTCCTCTAATTTCTGCTATTAGGTCTCAGGGAGGAAGGATGATGAAATAACTAAACGCTGCCCACAGACTAGTGAGAGATAATGGTGGATGCTGAGTGAACTATTCCAGATTCCTGAGTATATCCACATGGATGGCAGCCATTATATCACTTAGCAAGTCACTAGTTCCTCTAATAAAGTGTCTCTTTGAAGCTGATTGGCAGCAGTTGGTACGGCCGCCATTGAAATGAACTGAATCAGGAGCAGTTTGATGGTATTACTGGAAATACAGGCAGCCTGCATGGATAGAAAATACACATCAGCCTCTTCCCAGAGGGCAGCAGGGAGAACAGTCTATGGTGGGAGGGGTCATTGATGATGTCACGGGCTCGGGACACGCAGCGCTGGGATGAAATGTCTTTTATGTAGGGAAAAAATGTCACGGGATGATCATTTAAGAATGGGGATGATTTTTTTAAAGCAGGGGCGTTGGAGCCTATTAAGAATTAGATTAATTTATTTTTCGCAAAATTATTAATGTTAAAGATCTAAGGTTGTGTGAATGGTAGAGCTATTGTTTATTTGTTTATGTATTGGTTTTGCTTCTCTTCTATTCTTTATGCAAATCAAGTTTAGCAGAATGCTAGGTGAAGGCTGTGCAAACAATAATGCTTTCCACACACTAAGTGAAATAAAGCTAAGGCCCCGTCCACACGAAGCCGAACCCTGGCCTAAACGCACAAATTTTTCACCAGACCAGCCTCTCATCCATACGAAGCCGGTGTTTCGGGGGTCTGTAAACGATCTTTTTTTTATTAGGCCTTCAGAGTGGGAAGATTTTGAAACGCTGTTTTCGCGTTTCCATCTTTAAGCTCTAACCGCATTTTTTTTCTTACACGCATGTGTCATAGCGTCGCCTCTAAACACGCATGCGCGACACAGTATCACAACAACAATGGCGCCGTACTGTGTTGAATGGTTGCTGCTCATGCTACTCACCCTGCTGTCGGGCTTACAACAGAATCTTCTTCTTCTGGAATATCTCCAGGAAGAACAGAGCAATATCGACCACATAGTTCAGCACCTCAATTTGACTGAACCACGAAAATGGACCCGCAGGGCAACCATGTATAAATATTAGTGCGCATGCCCAACATTTCGTCGCTTATTTTTGCTTTGGCACCACAGTGCCACTTACAGGCCTGGCATACATTTTGCAGTTTCATGCATTCGTGTGGACGATCACATTTATTTTACGTCTCCGTCTTTACGACAAACGTTCTGGAAAATATTAGCGTTTCGTGTTCGTTTTGACTTCGTGTGGACTAAGAAGTGATCCTCTTTGAGCCTCACAGAAACCAAAATAAGGAGGAGCAGTAAGAGCAGCGTATCTCTCTCACCTCTTTAGGACAAAAAGAAAAAACTTGGATAAACTTCCCAGATCTCTCTGCCTCAAGGCTGGTTTATACTCAGAAACCTGAGTATAAACCAGCGTGTGTCGCAGTGAACGCTGATATGCCCCGCCCCCTTCCACAGACACCCTGCTGCACCTCTCCACAATTGTAGGTGAGCGCAGACAGGAGGCCTCTGATTGGTCTTATCTCCATCCACTCTACACTGAGTATTTCCTGTTTGGTTCCTTGCCAGCTTGTTTTGTTTATATGACTGCCATGGTGGAAAACGACTGGTGAGGATGGACCCGCTAGAAGAGCGAGGTGCGCAAGAACGCTGGGACCCTTTTTCCACCTGGTTCCCTGCTCTTTTTGCCCCTCATGTCCCTCCATTGTCGTCCAAACTTGCCCCCCCTTCCTCACTGGATCGGCCGTATCTAGACCCACAGCTAGATCCTGATTGGCCCTCTGGCGTTGTGGCGTGGAATAACATAGCACAGACCACGCTTCAATATTGGGCAGAAATCAAAAATATCTGCAACAAACTCACTGTGACACACTGCTGAGGAGGATAACCAGGCCTTTAGTCAGCATGGAAACTGACTCATGGCGTTTGTTGCTATTTTTCTTTTCTTTAGAAAAGCATTAGGTTTTAATATATGAACATTCTGTATCTGTTCTCTATTTTCTATCTCGTTAAGTCAAGCTTTACTTTATAGAATGAATGGTTGTTTTTATTTCTTTTAGGACTTTTCATAATCTGTTCCAATCAAATGTGGGGAATTTGTTTTACTTTGTGTATAGGAAACAGACAGGAGGGAGAAAACCTCTGCTCAGATCTGCCCACCCTGCCTAGTCGGAGCCTCTCTATGCGCAGTCAGTGTGACATGGAGTAAAAAAGACCTTAAGAGCTACCATCAAACTGCCGACTAACAACTTAAACACATATTTTTTTATAATACAGAAACTAGAAAAATGCAATGCAGATAAATGACGGATTTTTAAAAAGTTATACTTTGAAATATAAAGGTATTGGATAATAAATCATCTTAGAAGTTGTGGTTATATTCGTCTACATTGTAATAAAGAACTAAACATTCTTAAGTCTTATTTCGTTTCCCATTAAGGGAACGACAAAATTCTATTTGGTGTTTTTCAGACGTAAAAGCAGTTCTTAAAGTTTGTGTCTTCTTTTAGATTCCAGTTCATTGAACCCAAACGGTGGAAGAAGAACCGGCCAGTATGTATCCAGTTAGCTGGAACTGGAGACCATGTAAGCTCTCTGCATTTTCACCATAAAATATATATTTTTTCTTTTGTCTTACAATAAACTTAAATACTTTGATAAAAAGAAACATTGAAAAAGCAGAATGATGAAATAGGGGTCTCTATGTCCTCCAGCAGTCTAAGCCTATAGCAGCATAACTATAGAGATAGCTCAGGATAACCTGAGCCACTCTAACTAGAAGCTTTATCAAAAAGGAAAGTTTTAAGCCTAGCCTTAAAAGTAGACAGGGTGTCTGCCTCACGGACTAAAACTGGTAGTTGGTTCCACAGGAGAGGAGCCCGATAACTAAAAGATCTGCCTCCCATTCTACTTTAGAAATTCTAGGAACCACTAGTAAACCTGCAGATTGAGAGCGAAGTGCTCTGTTAGGAACATAAGGAACAATCAGATCTCTGATATCAGATGGAGCTTGGCCATTTAAGGCTTTATATGTGAGAAGGAGGATTTTAAATTCTATTCTGGATTTAACAGGAAGCCAATGAAGAGAAGCCAGGATAGGAGAGATGTGATCTCTCTTTTTCATTTTCATCAGAACTCTGGCTGCAGCATTTTGGATCAGCTGAAGGCTTTTAACTACAGTTTGTGGACTTCCTGATAGTAAAGAATTACAATAGTCCAGCCTTGAAGTAACAAATGCATGGACTGGTTTCTCAGCATCACCCCTGGACAGGAGATTTCTCATTTTAGCAACATTCCTCAGATGAAAGAACGAAATTCTAGAAACCTCTTTTATATGGGATTTAAATGACAGGTCCTGATCAAAAAGATAATAATAGATCAGATCAGTCGTAGGGAAGTCTTTTTTAAATGTCAAATCATTCTGGCTTAAACTTGTATATAAATGTGCTCTTTATCAGGCCATATTGTCCCAAAAGTTAGAAAAGGTCTATTTTGTCTTAAAATCTGTGGGGGGGTTTCACGTTATCTTCTGCAGGCCAGTTAGATATACGTCAGCCTGAACACCTAAATTCTGCCAATCATATCAACGGTCATCTGTCAATCAAATGTTTTCGGTCATAGCATCTTTATTCATATGTCGCAGCTAATATACGCAACGGTTGAAATCAGAATCATTCCTTTCCCATTGAGTTGCGTCCCAGTGTTCACGGGGATGGACGTCTGCGTCTTCAGCAGGCGTAGAGCTAACAGAACTGGCAGCGTTGCGAGGCAAGGGCTCAAACATGTACGGCTGGAAGCCTTCTACACCAAACCAAGCTTCTGTCGCCCTGGCGTCAGAATTTCCCATTGGGAACCTACTAGCGCTAAGTTGCTAACTGGTTAGCAAGATGCTTCTGAGACACTGGCCACAACCAAGCGTGCTTGCCAACCTTCCCCCACAACAATCCCGCCCCCTTGATAATCGACCAATCACATTCACTTTATTCACTGGTGTAAAGTCGAACACGACTCAGGAGAATTCGGAAATGCAACAGTTGGAACGGCTGCTTCCCTACGACTTTAAATAACCTGGTTGGAACTGGATCTAACATCCAAGTTGAAGGCTTAGATGAAGACAATAATTTTGCTAACTCTGAAAGTTTAACTGGATCAAAGCAGTCTAAACCCGGTTCACATTCCATGACTACCTCAGATGCTGCCTCACCTTCCAGAGATAAACCAATCCCGGATAGAGGAGTGCTAGTGTACTTTTTAATAAGATCAATCTTATTTATAAAGAATTCCATAAAATCATTATCAAATCTAGGATTATTTTTGTTCTCCTCTATTAATGAGGAGAAATATGCTGCTCTTGCTTTACAAAGGGTCCTCTTATAGAGCAGTAAACCATTTTTCCAGACTAGGTAGGATTCCCGTAGGCCTGTGAAGTGATTATTTATTTATATATATATATAATTTGTCTGCACCATTAACACCAAGTCAAATTCTTTGTAAGTGCAAACCTACTTGGCAATAAACTTCAGATTAAGATTCAGAGTGCACAGTTCTGCATTAAACCAGGGAGATGGGTTCTATTTTTATTATATGGAGATTATTATTATATTACCTTAAACTATAAAAAAAATACCTAAAGTTTAGCGTATTGGACCACTAGAGGGAGTCGAACGAATAACTGCACAGCAGAGTGTTACCTGTATGGCTTTAGAAAGCGCTGTTGTTATTCTGTAATACTGTGTTCCCTCTAGTGGTCTGGAGCAGCTCAGTATTTGGAGCAGTTTCAGCTGCAGAACCTCAAAGCCGTACAGAAAGCAGGTTGATGTCCGTCAGCTGGAGTAAACCACTGTCTAGTCAGGAGTCTGTTCTGTTTGTGTGACTGTAGTTTTTCTGGCGCCGTCGGACCCTGATGGCCAGGCCCATGATCAAGGAGGCTGGGATGGCATCTCTGCTTCTGGAAAATCCATATTATATCCTTTTCTGTGTTCAGAGCATTGTTCTCTGTGTACACCACTAGAATGTTTCTCTCCAAGGTCCGGTTCCTCTAGAAACTGTCCCATGAATCCAAAAAGAAATCCTGCTGAGGAGGGAGCAGATTTGGAAAATGTAAACAATTTACTCCTTGTTGAATGAAGTTTAATATTGACAGATTTGAAACCTTCTTTGCAGCGGTCCGGTCAGTACCAGAACCCCCACTAAGAACCAGAGCTCGTTAGCAGAGGTTCTGTCTGAGCCAAAAGTTTTCAGGTGCTCTTTGCTCCAGCAAACCCAATTTAGAAGATTTCAGGACGTCCTCCTCATGCCATGAGGCTCCATCTCTTAGTGTAGTGGGGGGCTGTGGGGCGCGGGGGCTGGTTCGGGGGCTCTGGGGGGCGCTCGGAGTGGGGTGCCTGGCGGGTCTGACCCCGGGGTCTGTTACCCCCATCGGGGCGGGGCTTGGGACGCCCGGGGGCATCCTACGGCGGCCGCATGCGGTGCTCTCGGGGGTTCCGTGGTGGCGGACGTGGGTTACTGACCTCGTATCTCTGCTGCTGCTGGGTGGATCCAGGGTTGGCCCAAGGATCTGAGGTCCCTGGGGTGCGTTGCCCTGGGCGGGGGCTCCGGTGGGGGCAGCGGGGTTCAGGTTCTGTGGGGAATGCTGCCTGGGGTCTGGGCTTGTTTATGCCCGGCTGTCCGGCCCTGCCAGGGCCTCTGGTGGGGCCACGGGGACCCGGGATCTGAGCCCACCTTCTGATGATGTCCCCCACCCCAATTTTATTTAGCATTTTAGACACTGGGGTGGGGGGCTCATTACTTGGACTTACCCACGGTCGGATCCCCCACCTCCTCTCGCACTTAGACATTGAGGGTCCTGGGTTGTCGATTGGGGGGGTACGCTGGCACCGGCTATCTCCCGGAGGGGGGGTGGACTGTGCTGGACACCCCCTTTTGGTACTCCCAGTTTTAATTACATCTGAGAGCAACAAGCAACAACAACACATTCCAGCAGGCGTAGGGAGGATCGGGGTCTTCTCACACCCCTGTTTCCCAGCTGCCACCCGGAGTCTGGGACGTGGAACCGGAACTTGAAGCAGGACTTTAAACTGGTCTCCTCCCTGGAGCCAGGCCTACTGGATAAAAACTGAACCTCCCCACATATAGAGCCAAAAACCCAGAGGACTCTGCAGGGGAGGAACAGTGGACGATCAGGAGACAAGACAAACACTAAAACCCTCTTTCCACTGGCTGCTAGGATCCAGGACATGAACCAAGGCAAAAACTCAGACAAACAGGCTAACAGAAACACAAGTAATGATCTGGGACTGAATGCTCAGGCTGAACTGAATATAAACCAGAGGAAACAGGTGAGAGGAATAAATTATAATGAGGCAGGGAGGGAAAAATGACAGGTGAAAGGAATGACTAATTAAGGGAGAGCAAACAGGCCAGATCATGACATTATTCTTATTGTCACATCGCCAGACAGGACACTGTTAAAAAAAAAAAAGGAATCCAGAGGTTCTGAGTTTAAGCCCCACTCCTACAGACTGCCACTCTGGGTCCCTGAGCAAGACCTTTAACCCCACACTGCTCCCCGGGAGCCGCATGATGGCAGCCCACTGCTCAACCAAGGGGATGGGATAAAGTGGAATTCTATTCTCTCTGAAACTTTCATGATAAGGTAAAACTTTAACATTGAAATGATCTTGTGGTCTCTCCTCATGGTCTCATCTCTTGAAACATTTTACCTTTAATCATGTAAATGTCGGTTTTCTGGCTTTAATCTAAGATTTCTAAGTATATTATTTCCCTGAAAATATGTGAAATTGTCTGAGTTTAGTCCTCCTTGCTTTCATTCTTCTTAGCCTAAATATCAGTTTTAATAATTTACTGGCAGCTCAGATCTTAGATGGGATAAATGTATTTAAATGCATCCTGGGTTGAAAACCTGAACCTCTGTAGTTCTCATCCAGTCTCCTTTGATCCTTGACTGATGTCTCACATGGATACCGTAAACCCAAAGATCAGCTGTAAGTAAACTTTTCTCTTTTTCTCGTTTTTTTTTTTTTTTAAATAAAGCTTTCTGCTCCTTTAGATGTTTTCTGTTTGTGGGTTTGAAAAATTTTTTTTTTTTACTCCCTGAAAGGCTTCTTGATAATAGAAATATTTGTTTTGTTTATTAAAACTGAAGATTCTGATGGGATAGAAAATGGTTTCAAACTGAAAGGCATTTTTGAAACAGAGGACGATTAGAGATCATGTCAGTTATCCACGAGAAGATGCAGCAGGGGAACATTTGAATTTGAATAGTGCGGAGCGACTGGCAGCATCAGGGCGAACCGGGCCGGAGAACACAAAGAGTTGGTTCCTATCATCCAGTTGACTGGAAATGATCTTGGTTTGTAGGAGGTCGTGTCTGAAGAACGTGTCGGACCTGTTTGTGATGGGAGGGGCTCTGATCCTGGAGTCTACTGTGCTTCTGCGCTGGCTGGAGAGGGAAGGATACTGGCCCCTGGGAATGACCGGCATCTCTATGGGGGGATATGTGAGTAGGAGTCGGCTGCTTTCCTCTGTCCGCTGGTTGTTTACGGATTTTCATTTCATGATCAGAACATTTCAGGGCGTCTTTGGCGTGTTTTAGACCCAGCCAGGACTTAATCATTATTCCGGTGAGGAGGAAGTTAACCTTCTGTCATTTGGTCTCTTAACCAATCAGAACTTTGCTCTGTTTCTCTCTCCATAGACTTATCTGAGGAAAGCTGCCTTTTTAATCTCATCATCATGATGGTTTTAACTGATAAAAAGCATTTCATGTTGTAGCTGAAGATCAGGAGCTTGATGGAGGCTCCTCTGTGTCTCTGTGTCCAGATGGCGTCCCTGGCGGTGACCAACTGGCCCAAACCCATTCCTCTGATTCCATGTTTGTCGTGGTCCACAGCCTCCAGCGTGTTCACCACGGTAACACAACCTTCCTCACGTCATGAAGATGTATGGGGGGAGTGGCGGCCTAGTGGTTAGAGCATAGAGATTGGAATCCTGAGGTTCTGAGTTCCAGCCCTACTCCCACAGACTGCCACTCTGGGTCCCTGAGCAGGACCCTGAACCCCACACTGCTCCCCAGATAAAACAATGGCAGCCCACTGCTCACCAAGGGGAGGGGTTAAATGCAGAGAGTGAATTTCGTTGCTCTGTACTTGTTACAGTAGAATGACAGTAAAAGCAAAAAAAAAAAAACTGTTGTTTCCCTTCAAAATGCAGGACATTCATGAACAAAATCCGCATCTGTCAGTTAAGTATTTCGTATTTGCTTGTTGAGGCAGTTACTGTTGAAGCAAAACAGCTCAGTCAAATTAAAAACAAAAGTCTTAAAAATCCGCTCTTCATGTCTTTTCCTGATGGTTTATTTCAGCTCTCTTCTCTGAACCAATGGACTGAAGCAGGCAGTCTGCTCGGAGCATTTCTCTAGGCTGCACAGATCAAGCCGGTTTAAATGACCTGATGTCAGATTTCCTCTGGGAATGTCTCTGTTGGGTCCAGCTGTTCATTTGGTCTGTATGTGTATCTTTGGCTCCAGGGTGTGCTGAGCAGAGCCGTGAACTGGGCGGAGCTGGAGAAGCAGTATGCCGTTAATTCAGTGTACGAGAGGGAAATCTTCAAGCTGCTGGAGTATTGTGGGGTAAACATCTTATTACTGTACACCGTGTCTATGTTCACAGCCTTCATTATACAGTTGGCCCTGACCATAGGTTCCTGAAATATATGTGTTGTATAAATATTACTGTTATAATGTTTCTTTAGGAAGAATTTCTTAATGTAGACGTTTTATTTGCGGTTCCTTCAGTACAGATTTATTTATATCCTCCAAGCTCTTCATTTCTGGGTGGGTTGATTCATAGAGGTGATCAAACAGAGAACTTTCACTTTTTCACATAGATCCACATTTCTTTAGATTGAACCTCGTTTAGTGGGGAAGAAGCTGTTTTTATTTTTCCAGGTTTTTTGATGCAGTTTCAGGTTTGGATCCAGTCTCCCAAAGCTCCCAGTAACGAAAGTTACGTATGTAACTACGGTTCTATGAATCCCGGATGACCGCCAGAGACTGGGCTTCAAGCACTGAATGATCACTCTTGCGCATATAGGCTGTGACCTACTGGTGATCAGCCTATATAGGCACGTGAAACTGGTAATTGTGTATCTTCTCGTGATACAGCAATACCAAGGGACCAAACGCTCTGGTGGTCATCAGGGATTCGTAGTTACACACGTAACTTCCATTCTATTTCATCTCTACTGACCGCCAGAGGCAGTGCTTCAAGCACTGAATGACGTATGCCAACCAGGTCGCGAGGGATGCAGAAAGAAAGGAACAACCCGCAGCAGGACCTACAGTAGCGGGATGTAGCCGGTGGTTGCTGCAGGACGCCCTGAAGAGGATGAGGCATAGCCATGTTAATCCTATAAAACCTCATGAAAGTGGTCGGCACTGACCATGAGGCTGCCTCAAAGATGAACTCCAGCGGCACCCCCATCATTGCAGCCCATGAGGTTGACAGGCTCCTTCTGTAGTAGCCCGCACTCCCTGAGGCAGGGGCTCACCCTGCAGAGAGTATGCCACAGATATCAACCCCAAGACACAATGTGTCAACTGTTGTTTGAAAGCCACATAGACCTTCAAGGTGGAAGGGGTGTGCCCCCGGTTAAGTAACCCCTGAAGGAAGGCCAGTAAGGGTTGAATGGTGCAAGGTATGGGGTCCAACCCCCTAGCCCACCAGGTAGCTAAAGCTGCCCATCTGGCAGTGTAAACAGTTGGCTGGCCGCAAGTGGTCCGGGTCAGGCTGGAGAACCCAACCCCCCCGGTTGGGACAGGAGGTCCCTCCTGGAAGGGAGGCGCGTCGGCAAGCTGTAATAAAGCCTGCGCAGCAGAGGAAACCAATTCCTCACCAGCCAGAACGGGGCTACCAGCAGGAGCCTGTGAACTTCTTGGAGAACCCGCAGGAGGGTCTAGGGAATCAGGCCCAATGGGGGAAAGATATACAGGAGAGTTCTGGGCCAATCGTGGGCCAGCGCAGGTCATCCCAGAGGACAGGAACTGTCTGACAGGGAGAACCAGAGGGGACAGTGGGCCGTTTCTCTGGAGACAAAGAGATCCATGCCCGCTCTGCCGAATGTCCCCCAGATGTGATCTACCACCTCTGGGTGGAGCTGCCACTCCCCCGGAAGAGGCGACGTGCGGGAAAGGAAGTCTGTGGGTCTGTTGCGCCAACCTGGAATATAGGCCGCCCTGAGGCGAGATGACGCCCAAACCAGGAGCTGGCATGTTAGGGACAGCAGTTTTGGGGACCTGGACCCACCTTGGTGGATGATATGGTAGACCACTGTGGTGTTGTCCGACCAGACCAACACATGCTTCCCCTGTAATCCCGGAAAAAAAGTCTGGAGCGTGTGGGCACAGCCAGCAGCTCCAGGACCTTGATTTGTTCCCTCTGCTACCGTGTGGACCACACCCCCTGCGCTATGCGGGCTCGCCAGGTTGCACCCCAACCTAGAGTAGAAGCATCCGTATAAACAGTGTCCCTCCAGCATGGAAGGGGACCGTGCGGAACTCCTCCCACGATGTAGGATTCGTTCCCCCATGGGGAGAGAGACCGAAGACAGTGAGACATGACAGAGATTCGTCTGTGCCTGTGTGCCCGGCGGGCGGGGTCCAGAGCCAGGCTGTTCAGCCACATCTGCAATGGGCGCAGGGAGAGAAGTCCCAGTGGAACCACATTGGAAGCAGCGGTCTGCATGCCCAGAAGGCGCGGATAATCCAAGAACCGTGGCGCTGCGCCACGCTAGAAGGCAGGCAACATGGTTAAAATACTTTTCACCTGCTGGGGAGAAGGGCGGGCTGTCATGGTGACAGAGTTCAGGAGGATACCCAGGAACACTGTCACCTGGGAGGGGGTGAGGCTCTTCTCCAAGTTCACCTTAGAACCCAGGTGAACTTGGGGGAGAGCACCAACTGAATGTTCCAGATTGCCTGACTGCGGGTTGCGGCACAAATAAGCTAATGGTCCAGATAAAGCAGGATCCGGATTCCCCGAGCCTGCAGGGGCGACCCTGTATGACCCAGGTCCCTTGACATCAAGGCAAAAGCCTGGAGAGATGCATACAGCATGCCTAGAGTCGACTGGTCAAGTGATCGGCCCTCCAGGGAAGATGCAAGACCCAGCAGCAAATGGGAGAGGGAGTTTCCAATATGCCCCATCCTAGCCTCTGAATCGTAGGCTCGGCAAAGCAGATCGTCCGTGATGCGACACTGTGGTGGATAGCAAGCGCCAGCTCGGAGGGCCTCGTCCAGAGGAACAATAAGGGAGGAAATGCCAGGTTCCACAATGGGCATCTGCCCTAACCCAAATTTTGGGGCCTCCTGCATCGCAGCGAGGGCTCATCCATCTGATGTTGGGCGGGAAAGAGCCCGAGTATCAGACCAGCAAGCATGAAGTTCCCTGATGTACTCTTCTGAAGGCGGGACAGCAAAGGTGGTCGTCTCAGTCTCACAATGCCTAAAAAAGGCGCTAGAGGTGGGAGGCTTCACCTGTGGAGAATTCACCCGTAACTGTGCCAGGGCAGCTCTGATAGCAGTTGCCACTGGCTCCCCCATGCCTCCAATAGAGATGCTGGATTTAGCATCCGACCCCTGTAGGCTACGTACCCGGGGTTCCCCTCGGAAAAGGGTGTCAGAAGCCGCCACCGAGAGGGCGTCCTCATTGACGACTGAAGCCTCATCGGTAGCTGGAGACAAAACCAACCCCTGATCAAGGGGAGGTTGCAAGGACTGGAGCAGGGCCTTCATCTTGGCTAACTCTTGGTTCACCTTAGAAGACAGCCCACCTTTCGAATATCGGGACTTCTTTCCAGCCGTTAGCAGGCCGTTTAGGGCATACCCTTTGGCCAGGGGGCAACTGTTTCTGTTGATGAGAGCCCATCCACCGAACGGGCTGTTCAAGTGAGGACAGCCGGGCCAGCCACACCGCATGGGAGAGAACGCTGCAATTGGAGCAGGCGGCATCGGTAAGCATCTCCTTGAGGTGGTCAACACCCAAACAAGGGGGGGCATAAGTCATGACCATCCTCGGGCTGCAAAGGGCCCAAGCAGGTGGAACAACAGAGGTTTTCCATATCCCAGTGACAGAGCCTATACTCTGGAGTAACGTCACTAACTAGACAGGGCTGAAATCGCCCCCAGTTGGGTAAATGCCAAATTTAACCAAGTATTTCAATTACGTTCAACAAAAAATCTAGCACGGGCAGAGGACGCCACAAGCGAGGTAAATGCAAACAGCAACTTGCTGTTTCAATTATTTCTGACCAAGGAACTCAGCACAGACAAAAAAACACAACCGGCGAGGTAAATAAATGAGCAGTCATCAGCTGCTAAATTAAACAACACCAGTGGGGCGAGCCGCTACCCGCAGGGTTCAGAAAATGAAAAGAAAACAGACTTACCGAACACCAGATGAGATCTGTAGGCACAACAATCATCACTTGCACAGCCCCTGGAGGGCGAGCACGCCCGCAGCCCCGAACACAAATGATCATGGGGCTACTAGCAGCAGGCTGACGGAGGAAGCGGTAATACAGCAAAACTCTCATGTCTGTGGAAAAAAAACTTTTACAACAAACCTGCGTGCCAGAAGATGAGAAGGACTGAACTACCGGTGTCACGTTCCTATATAGGCGATCGCTGATTGGTAGGTCACAGGTGACTGTTGATACTAATTCTCGACCTGCACAAGACTGATCATTCAGTGCTTGAGGGATGAAATAGAACTGTTGTTCCCTTTAATCATCTGCTCCAACCTCTTATCTTTTTTTTATATTTTAGAAATATTACCATCAAACATCTGTACTTGCTGGCTGATTATCTTTTTTTTTTTTGTCTTTTGTCTTTATTCCGATAAATATTTGGTGCTGCAGAAATATCTAATAATTCTATCTGATAAAACATTGTTTGTTCTGCAGGTTGATTAAAAAAACAAATCAAACTTTTCCTGTTTATGGATTCATGCAAACTAAAAAGCTGCTCATGGTCTGTATGTTATTGGTCAGTTGTAACAAAAGAAAATGTTGTTTGTTAAAGGTGGTGGATGATTAGCCCCACCTTGTGGACTGAAGGTGCATTGCAGTTTTTATCAGAGCCATGGGAACAGATAAGTTCATGCGGACTCCCCTTTGTGTTCCAAACAATCAGGTGGATTCATATAAAATGGGAACAGAAGTGCAGAGGAGGTTGGACTCGTTAGGGGATCTGCTTGACCTTCCTGGAGGTCTCCAGGTATCAGCGGGTCGGCGCTTTAACGTGGACATGCAGTGCGCTACAAGTGGCACCGCCGAGAAGCAAGGCAGTGGAACAAACACTCCACCAAGGTAATCAGTCTTTGAAACCTTTATTTGGTTGGTTCCTCTAAGCTGCTGAGAAACGTATATTCAAAAGCAGCATTTTATTTTTTTCTCTGACTTCTAGGATTTAGTTATCTATATAAAGGAGACCAAACCCCCATAAATCTTTATGAAATTTAAAATCCAACATGCGGACTGCCCACTGCCCAGTAACTGCTTCTCAGTAAACTGATCTCTGGTGTTTGATTTCAACTGTTTTCTTCGCCTCCAAAGCTTTAGCACCTGGCCTGTAAAGCAAATCTGTCTTTGTTACCCGTTAGACCCCCGAGTGCTCCCAGCGTGGGCCGTGGGAGGAACATGAACTCTGCCACCTGCTGTCGACCATCACTGCAGACCGAGTCCATCAGCTTCATGAAGGGAGTAATGGATGAGTGCACGCACATGGCCAACTTCTCTGGTTGGTTTTTCTCCACAGGACGAACCTCTTACCTGCCATGTGTCTGGAATGTGATGTTAAGCTTGAAAAGCTCCAGGAGTCGAGCAGTTTGACGGGTTCTCCTTCTGTCAACTCGGAGAAATCAGGTTGATTATGAGATAAACAAAGTTCAGCCTTAACTGGTGGATCTGCTTCTGAGTCGCCTCTAATTATAATTATCTTATAATTATTAGCCCAGAATGTTCAGCAATGTTCAGCACATCCTTCACTCCCAGAGAAAACAAGCAAGAGCTTCCACCGCTGGTTAACATTTACTCTGACATGAAGTAAAGATTTATTTATAGAGAAGCTTTCAAAGAAAACAGAGGCTCACAAACGGCGTCAGAAAGAACCCATTCACCATCCCAGTGGAAAAACTGATCAATCACTTAGTTTCCAGTTCATGGTCTAAACTTTCTGCAATAGAATCGATGCTGAAGATCAGACCACAGGTTTTCATCCAGACATTTCAGAAATAGAGCTGCAGTCATTTCCCAGTTGGAGGTTGCAGTGCCGTTCCGAGCGGCCCGGCTCCTCCCACTGGGTCCCAGTTAAGAGTTGTCTTCTGATCTCTTCCAGTCCCAGTAGACACCAGTCTGATCATCGTGATCCAGGCCAGAGAGGACGCCTACATCCCTCGGACAGGAGTCCTCAGTCTGCAGGAGATCTGGCCCGGATGTGAAGTCCGTTACCTGAATGGAGGACACATCAGTGCCTACCTGTTCAAACAGAACTTCTTCAGGTAAAACTTGCCTCCATGTTTCCTTCTAGAGGCCAAAGCCTTTGCCTGCTCGTTCAATTTGGGTTTGAGAAGTTCCCCAACGGGAAACGTGGATTAGTGCCGTTGCTCATAAAGCACACATGGAGGGACTGACGTCCCCTCACGTCCCACGTGGAGGGAGCGACGTCCCCTCACGGCTAACTCTTAGTGCCTCTTTCATATTTTCATTGATGATGGAGTTTTTGTTGAAACCTTTGCTGATGTCTGGTTGTTCCAACAGGAAGTCCATCTATGATGCATTCGACCGGTTTTGCCTGAAGTATCCAAGCTCTCCTTAGCCTCAGGAGGCCGAGGCCAGCGGACCTGAACCATGGCGGGAAAGGATGATCCCACCGTGCACTTCCTGTTTCCTCCTGCTGATGTGTTCTGGTTCTGGAGGATCAGGCTCCTGTAGAAACATCTGTTTTTCTGGGTGGTGTTTGGATCCTAACCTTCCCTCCTAACAGAAACGTCTGGATCCACCAATGAAATCATGAATGTGGAGTAAATTCCTGAAGGTTTTATTGACGCAGCGTTTCCTGCGCAGCTCGCTGTGAGAACGTCCATCAGAGTGGAATATTTTACATTTCATCACCTTTTGTATCTGATTTTTCTGAAATATATTAAGGCTGAATAATATAACCAATCTGAGTGCCACTGCCTCGTCTATTTCTTCTGCCTGGAGGATCAAACCTTCAGAGCAGGTTTGGTCTCACACCCCGTGATGTTTTGAAAACTGTTTCTAGGTGGAAATGAGGCAAACCTCCATGCTGGAGGACATTTCACAGAAAGAACAACACCAAGATTTTTTACTTTATTATCTGAAATCAGTTTAATCTCATCCAAATGAAGTGACTGACTAATCAGCTTCTTTTTTAAAGACTCTGGTCCAAAGACTATAACTTCTGTTTTGTCTGTGTGGAGTAAAAAATTGATGAGCACTGAGAGGTAATATCCAAGGAAGAAAAGGTTTTATTTTACTCTGCAGAGGAGAACAACATGACGAGCTGAATGCAGCTCTCAGTGTAGATCTGAGGCTGCAGCATCCCAACCCCTGCATAAAAAAGGGGACTCCCCACACATTAACATTTCCCAAGAGAAACACTTTAGTTCATCAAAGGACAGAGATGACAATTGTTTTCTATTCACACTAGGACGTGAGAATCTTGACATGTTTCCCCCTTATCTAACCTAGGGGGAAACTTCCTTTCAAACCTCCTTCCTTTCCTTTCATCTCAACAAGGCTCCTAAGTAATCACTCCTATTCAAGAAAAAGAAAAGACAGACTTTAACATCACTCACAAACAGGCCAAGGAAAAATACCATTTCACATCTGCATTCAGAAGGAGAAAGTTAAGAGTCATCCAGGTTTTTATGTCTTCAGACATGCCTGTAATCTATGTAATGGGTTAGCTTCATCTGGATTTATAGACGGATATAGCTGGGTATCATCAGCATAACAGTGGAAATTAATCCCATGCTGTCTAATAACTCTACCAATTGGGAGCATGTATAAAGTAAAGAGAATTGGTCCTAGCACTGATCCCTGTGGTACTCCACAGGTAACCCTGGAGGATGAGGTAGATTTATCATTAACGTGAACAAACTGAAATCAATCAGATAAGATTTAAACCAGTCTAGTGCTGTTCCTTTAATTCCAACAAAATATTCAAGTCTTTCTAAAAGAATATTATGGTCAACTGTATCAAATGCAGCACTGAGATCCAACAGGACGAGCACAGATACAAGTCCATTATCTGAGGCCATGAGAATATCGTTAGTGACTTTCACCAGAGCTGTTTCAGTGCTATAATGAGCTCTAAAGCCAGACTGAAACTCTTTAAATAGTTCATTATGGTGTAAGTGATAGCAAAATTGTTTGGCAACTACTTTCCCAAGAATTTTTGATTTAAGTGCAGATTTTTTTACTGAAAGCCGGCGGGCAAAGTTTGCAGAGAAATGTAAGATTGTTGCCATCATCCTCACCGACCACCTGGTCATAAACCTGTTTTAAGTGATCATACTGCTGCTTTGTCGCCTCCACGGTCGCCTCCATGCTGCTGTGGCTTCCGTGCTGCATTTTGTTTTGATGACGCACGCGGCTGTAGGCTACGACGCTGGTAGCTGCTGTTGCCAGATTGGGTGTTTTTCCCGCTACATATTAAGGCCTGTTTACGGTGTGATTTAGCCGGGGTTTCACCTGGAGGGCTTTATAGAAATCTGGCAACCTATTGAATGGAGCTGAACTGAGAGAGCGTGCCGTTCATAGACACCAGAATGAACGAGTTCACAATAACGTTCATCAGGCAATAATGCAGTACGTTCAGTTCACGTTCGCCCAAAATATGAACGAGTTCATGAACTTTCGTTCAATGAACGAGTTCAGGCACAACACTGGATATAGGTCTATAATTGACCAAGTCATCTGGGTCAAGAGACAGTTTCTCAAGAAGAGGTTTAATTCCAGCAACCTTAAAAGCCTTTGGTACATATCCCTGTAACAGAGATAGATTAATCACATCTAAAATGGAGGATATCAGTGAGCATCTAAAGATTCTGAAACTCAGAGAAAATGTTGGAAACATTCTATTTTACAGCAGTTTGGTTCTAAAATATAAACAATCTTCACTTAGCCTTGATCAGTCTGGAGATCTGTACTTTGGGTCTGGGTTTTCCATGCTTGTGCCTCTTCAAATACGAACCTCCTGGAAAGCTTCCAGAAAGGAAGTGGTGTGGGGTGTCTGTCCTCCAACACCATGGGGGCAAAGGAGCACCCCTGAGGAGTGTCTTTTGATATTGTCTTGGAGGGTGTTGTAGAGCAAGTCAACTACAGAGCAAAACTTTCATCTTCCTCACCCAGTGGACACAGTTCATATAAAGCATGGACATTGGTGGACAGTGGCCCAAATTATCATCATGGTTTGTAGCACAACATTCCCCCTTTTAGATGTGGAAATGGTCACGAACTGACCCCAGTCTAACTGTAAAACATTTCATTTTCTCCAGAGGTTTTCTGTCTGGTTAAGGCAGGTCTGGCAGGAAATCTGACCATAATAGACTAATTATACATTCCAAATTAAAATCTCTTAACACCTTCATAACCTGCTGTTCAACCTTCATCATTCCTCAAGTTTTAAAACAAAATAAAGGATAAAACTGATAGATGTTAGAAAGTACTGACCATTGTCACCCTCTGGGCTATGATACGTTTTACAGTCAGCTTGTAATTGAAAAACTTCGTATTCTGTCACTTCAGTGAGAACATGGTGAAGATTACTAGTCATCAAGGTCCTGGTCAAAAATTAAAAGTTCAGTTTAGGCAACTGGAGGTGAAGTTTTCTAGAAGACGTTTCTCCTCTCATCCAAGAGGCTTCTTCAGGTCTAACTAGTGATGAAGAGCACAGAGATTATTATACTGCAGGAGGAACAAGGAATGAGGAGTAACCAAAGGAGGCTCTGATCCCTCCTAAGCCGGGCATACACTGTGATTTTTTTTAAATCGTTGCATGCAGCTACAGAAACCGCAGGGTGACACAACAACGCACTGATGCGATCTACCTGCTCACACTGTACGTCTATAAACCAGGTGGGACTCAGCTCCGCAGTGAGATGGCGCCACTCGGACTCGTCTATCCGAAAGTCAAACCAGTAGAAGAGGAATATGAAGCTCAATAGAGTGAAATGCGCTGCCTTGGCAATTTGGTGCTGAAAGTCCTAAAAAGAAAAGGCGACGACGTATTTGGACAAAGACACGGCTGAGCAAACGTGGCTACTACGGTCTGTCAGTTTTACAGGAAGAACTCCATTTCACTAATTGCACCCCCACCATGCTTCTGGGTTTTCATCTGAGAGGAAGAAGAATCCTTGTTTGCCCACTGAGCGATTTGCCCACGACCACCTTACGACAGCCGACTGAATTTCAAACATGTTTGATTTTCTCCCGACCTCATGATTCCTGATCAGGAGGTGGTCGTTAGAGGCTGATCGCCCCTCGTTACCCCCTGTACACCACGCACCATCAGGCTGAAAGTCGGCCCGATGGGAAAATTCTCACACAACTGGAGAACGGTCTGTAAAGGGTAAAAAAAAATCACACGGCGCCTGGCTCTACTGGATTGGCCATGGTGGTCATCTGGGAGGTTAAAGGTCATTAGGGGGCTCTGATGATGATTATTTGATCTGGTTGAACTGTAAAGTGCCTTGAGATGACATGTGTTGTGAATTTGGCGCTATATAAATAAACTGAATTGAAATTGAATTGAAATTGATGGGTCGCTAAGCTCCTACATTTCTTTCATGATGCAGACCTCCACTTTACCGTCGCTATGATCCATCTGATCATCATTCTGCAGGACTGGATCAGGCCGGACCTGTGAGCCATCAGAACCAATGTGCTGGTTCTGTTGAGCAGCAGGAATAAAATCCCAGTAATCAAACAGACGAGAAAATTAACACAAAAATTGTTTATTTTATAAATTTCAATGAAATAAAAAACGGAATCTTTATTTCTCAATGTTCTGATTCTAGAGGGCTACCGGGTTCTGTTCAGGGTTCTGTCTTGGATAGACACTGTAGTCCAGGCAGCCTCCAGTGCCGAGCGCTGCTGTTGACCCGGAGGTCCAACCAGTCCTGCTGGGTGGCCCCCAGCGCAGTACTGGAAGCACAAACTGGGATTAGTGGATCAGTGCAGCTGCTAAGGAGAACGGGTGCACAGTGCCATACCTGGACGCCAGGTAAGGTTCTGCCGGGGCGGACATGTCCGCTGGGGGGAGGACCGGATCCTCAGCGTCCACAGAGCCCAGGTTGGTTATGGTTCCGTCCTCAGTAGCATCCAGGCTGGTTCTGCTGCCTTTAACTGGACCTGGTGGGACACAGAGCAGACTGAATGATCCAGAACCACAGACATGGCTTCCTGCAGCATAGGCTCGCCCCCTGCTGGCCCAGCAGTGTAACAACAGCTGTGTTTCATCTCCAACTCATTGCCAAGATTAATCACCATCCGTTCTGCGCATGCTCGAACACAATAAGATCTGGATCGTCGAAAACTACGTAACAACGGTACTAATTAGCTAAAGGCACCACCAACGCCTGGCATCTCCATCAGCTGGAGGCACCACCAATGCCTGGCATCTCCATCAGCTGGAGGCACCACCGACGCCTGGCATCTCCATCAGCTGGAGGCACCACCGACGCCTGGCATCTCCATCAGCTGGAGGCACCACCAATGCCTGGCATCTCCATCAGCTGGAGGCACCACCAACGCCTGGCATCTCCATCAGCTGGAGGCACCGCCGACGCCTGGCATCTCCATCAGCTGGAGGCACCACCAACGCCTGGCATCTCCATCAGCTGGAGGCACCACCAATGCCTGGCATCTCCATCAGCTGGAGGCACCACCAACGCCTGGCATCTCCGTCAGCTGGAGGCACCACCGACGCCATGGCATCTCCATCAGCTGGAGGCACCACCAATGCCTGGCATCTCCATCAGCTGGAGGCACCACCAACGCCTGGCATCTCCATCAGCTGGAGGCACCACCAACGCCTGGCATCTCCGTCAGCTGGAGGCACCACCGACGCCTGGCATCTCCATCAGCTGGAGGCACCACCAATGCCTGGCATCTCCATCAGCTGGAGGCACCACCAACGCCTGGCATCTCCGTCAGCTGGAGGCACCACCGACGCCTGGCATCTCCGTCAGCTGGAGGCACCACCAACGCCTGGCATCTCCGTCAGCTGGAGGCACCACCGACGCCTGGCATCTCCGTCAGCTGGAGGCACCACCAACGCCTGGCATCTCCGTCAGCTGGAGGCACCACCGACGCCTGGCATCTCCGTCAGCTGGAGGCACCACCAATGCCTGGCATCTCCATCAGCTGGAGGCACCACCGACGCCTGGCATCTCCATCAGCTGGAGGCATCACCAACGCCTGGCATCTCCATCAGCTGGAGGCATCACCAACGCCTGGCATCTCCATCAGCTGGAGGCATCACCAACGCCTGGCATCTCCGTCAGCTGGAGGCACCACCAATGCCTGGCATCTCCATCAGCTGGAGGCACCACCAACGCCTGGCATCTCCATCAGCTGGAGGCACCACCAACGCCTGGCATCTCCATCAGCTGGAGGCATCACCAACGCCTGGCATCTCCGTCAGCTGGAGGCACCACCAACGCCTGGCATCTCCGTCAGCTGGAGGCACCACCGACGCCTGGCATCTCCGTCAGCTGGAGGCACCACCGACGCCTGGCATCTCCATCAGCTGGAGGCACCACCGACGCCTGGCATCTCGCCTTGGGTCTCCTGGCGCCCTCCTCAGTGCTCTGGGGGGGCGCCTCTTCGGCTCTCCACAACCACTATTGAGCATTTTTCCTTTGGATAAACTTCACATGCATGAGTGCACTCTAACAAGCAACTACAGGTTATTGGTTCCAGGTACTCAGAGATTCACTTCCATACAGAAAGCCCATATTCTGATCTTCAGGTAACACAGAGTACATGTCAGATTAAATAATGCTATTTATACTTCAGCGATAGTATCTAGGTGCTGCTTTATTGTGTCTCGTACCATGTCTGTTGGTTGTTCTGTTCTTTTTCCATCTCTTTGCAGGTGATGAAGCAGACTGAAGATGTTTTATCATTATCTCCCTTTTATCTCCTCTTTCTTTCAGCTTTTCTCCTTTTTTTCTGTTTTTCCTTTCCTGCTCTACTTACATTGCAGTGTCCATATAATCTGTAAAACTCCCTGCATAATTAGAACAAAGCTATTTATATGCATGAAACAAGCAGAGCACTATGGCGAAAGGCGTACTGCTCCACTTGTGAAAGTAAAATCTGTTGGGCTCTTTTTGGCATCAAGACAATTAATCTTATTGTCACATTGCCAGACAGGACACTGTAAAAAAAAAATGCTTTCCATAAAATCATATTATTCTTATTTAAACATTAAATTAAAAAAATGTGAAACTTATAGACTAAATACATATCATATAATCAGTGTTGGTTAAGTTACTTTAAAAATGTAATCCGTTACAGTTACAAGTTACCTTGTTTAAAATGTAGTGTAACTTTTTCGATTACTTTTAAAAAGTAATGTAACTAATTACTTTTGATTACTTTTTGATTACTTTAAGGTTTTAATGAGTATTGACCCATGTTCAACATTTATTTTTTGAGAACTGAATGTGAACCTTAAAAAAGCACTAAGCTGAGAGGGAACTGCTGACAGGCAATCACAGGATGTCCACAAGAAGAGATGCCAGCACCAGGCATGGAAGGTTTTCTCAGACTCCTCTCATCGGGCCATACTCTTCTCTGTTCACAAACCACTTCTTTCCTACAGCGGTCACCTTATTGAACTCTTCCCAAAAACCAGTCTTTCCTTCCCCTCTATCCATACCTTACTGTACCATCCCAACATTTGTTGGGATGGTACAGTAAGTGTGTACAGTAAGTGCAAGTGTTGCTCTTCAATTCGCACCTGTAGTTTTCACTACTGCTCTCTAATTAGAGTATCTTAGTGGCACACATCAGATTGAACTATCTGGAAATTAAAGGTGCCAATAAAGTTAAAGCTGATATATTTTTCACATTTTTATTAAAAAAAATATACTGTAGTTGCTTGTTTTAATGAGTGTTTGGCTATGTAAAAGAAATGGCTAATCTTGGCCACATGAGCTCTCTATGGCCAAGAACCTTGAAAATCACTCATGCTTTTTTTTTTTTAAAACACTTCTGCTTAGCCACTTGGCTAGTCCCTTTCCATCACACACTGCTTGTTGGTAGGTGGGTAGCTTTCGTTTTACTAATTTACATACAGAATTAGGCTAAAGCGAGTTGGGATTTACACTGACGCTAGATATTTTTACTTGCATATTGCAGGAGGGAAATTAGTTTTTTTTTTTTTTGCAAAGCAGACATCTGTACACTTATTTTTTTATCTGAGGATTCAACAAGTTTCATAATCTCTGAAGATAAGGCATGGCCGTGGTGGCTGCTCTTCTCGCTCTGCTCCTGTCTCCTCCTCCATCCTGTGTTTGTGGCTCTGTGTGTCTGTGTGTGTCGTTCTGTGAGTTCCACTACAGTACGCATGCGCATGTTTCGTAGATACAGACAGGAGAGGCAGAATAGAGGCTCATGCCTGAATGTCCAGCAAATAACTCCGCTTGTTGTTTCAAAAATAGAAAACCTGGTTTCATCTCTTAGTTATGCCCTGGATTTTGTAGCGTTTGTGGACGCTACGTCGCTACTTGATCAAAGCAATAACGTCACTACTTGATAAATAAAGCAGCGACGCTACGGTCAAGCTACTGGAACATGCAGTTAAACTAATAGCTTTGCTACATGTAGCGGCGCTACTGCCCATCACTGTTTGATGCGCTGCTTGAGCTGAAAAAGAACCGTCCGCTCGCTCGCTGTTCCTCAAGGAGGCTCCACCAGCACAGGATGGATCATCAGAGTGGCAAATATGATAGAGACAAGGAGCCGTAGCGGGAAAGGCGATACAGGGCGCGAAGCAATAAAAATATCATTACATATTTCGCAAAGGTTTTCTTTATATTTTTAAAAAAATTTAACTAAATTTGTAATTCTCAATATTTTCGGAAGTAACTGTAACTGAATTACATATTTTCTCATTGTAACTGTAACGAATTACAGTTACTCTTTTTTTGTTATTAAATTACGTAACGTCGTTACATGTAATCCGTTACTCCCCAACACTGCGTATAATAAATCTATTATTTCTGGATAGTTACCTAAAATGTTCTTACCTTTAACTATCAAATGTTGAGAAATCCTTAATTTTCTCCTGGAATCAAAATCCAGATGTTTGGGAAATAATTCATTCTGACTATAGAACTGCAGATCATGAATGAATCTGTTGTTTGATCAGTGATGTTAGTGAAGTACAGAGAAAATGAAACAGCTAATCTAATCGTTTACCCTGAGTGATGTATATTGGCGGATGCTCGGAGCCACAGTGACGTTACAAAGGTTATTTAAGTGTTTTTTTATATATTGCTTTTTTAATTTTTTAGAATATGAAATATTTATAGAAATAAAAAACTATATTCAAAAGGATCCCAGCCCATAAAAAACAGAAGAATAAAAAAATAAGAAAAACAAAGTATTGCCAAATCGGAAGTTATTATGTTCACGCAGGACGGACGGACAGGAAGCAACAATGCTAGCTACTACGCAGGAGAATCTGATGACATCACAGAGGAACGGGTCACTCCGAGGTCAGAGAAGCTGGCAGAGACAAAGCCCCCCCCAGCTGACAGAGACCCCCCCATCAGCTAACAGCTAGCTATCCCCCTAGCAGCTGCTGTTGCATGTGGTGTGGAGTGAGAACGTGTGCCACTTACAGCAGCGTGTGAACGGCTCCCAGGCTCTGCGCTGTAGGTACGGTTTCACCACTGGCTGCTGCAGCAAACAGAACAGCGCCGAGTCCATCTGCTGAAAAACCCTGCAGAGCATCATCATCATCAGAACCCACCAGAAATGACTTTATTATTTAGGACAATCGGACTGCTGTCCTGTCCAGAACCTTTGTGGACAGGATTTCTAGGTGCAGCCAAGGCCGGGGGGGTTCTGGTAGGAGGACCAGTGGATCTCCTCTCTGCTTTTTGCAGATGATGCGGGTCCTGCCTCCCTGTGAGGGGATCCAGGCCCATCCCACCAGGACACCATGTTCGACCATGCTTCTCTGCTGGCCTGGAGCGATCGGCCGCTGGGACAACCTGGTCCTGGATGAGTGGACCTTGGTTGACAGCTGCTGAATCCCATCTTCTTCAGTTAGATAGAATGATCAGAGTTTTACTAACTGTGCTCGGGGGGAATCAGAGCAAATGGATTTCTGTCCACATCAGATGAAAAACAATCATCTCAGATGTTCAGCTGTTAACCAGGCCTGCAGGCTCTCGTCCACAGACTGGGACGGCTACACTGCTCCTGCGGGGTTGAAGATCATCTCCCCCTAGTGGTCTGGAGCTTGTTTTGTTCTTGCAGCGTTTTCTGGTTGTGGGTCTGATTCTGAATGTTTGCAGCCCTCAGCCAATCAGAGCTCTGGATTCTCTCTTCATCCTCTGACATGGGAGCTGGCTCGGAGCTCGTCTGCCTGGCTGTGTGTTTCCTGGACGGGGCCGCCTGTGGAGCTGGTTGACAGTTGCCTTTTTTATCTATGCTTCTTTTTCTATGTCTGCTTCTGTCTCCTTGAACCCCAGTGGGCCTCAGCAGATGGCCGCTCACACTGAGCCTGGTTCTGCTGGAGGTTTCTTCCTGTTCAAAGGGAGTTTTTCCTCTCCACTGTCGCTACAAGCAAGCTTAGTGTGAGGAATTGCTGAAGAGTCAATGAGTCGATGCAATCAACTGGTTTTCATTAGATAGAGAACTTTGAGTCAATCTGACTTGATGATCTGGTTGATCTGGATCTATAAAGTGACCTGAGATGATGAGAATTGGTGCTGTCGCTGTCTGCACCATCAACACCAAGTCCAACTTGGTCTCACGGTTTACACCTTGGGGGGTTGAATCAATAAACTTGATTCTGATTCTAGAAATAAACTAAAGTGGTTTCTCCTTAAAAGGCTGAAGCAGAGTGGGGACAGAGGGGCGGGGCTACCTGAGAGCGAGGAGTCTCTGGACGAGGTCGGCCGACAGGCCGTACTTGTCAGACTTGATCATCTCTCTGATTGAATCAAAGTCCTCCTTTAGCTGCAGCGCCCCCTGGACACTAAAAGAGGAACAACAAAAACATACTTCAGACAAGAGAGAGACAGAACCTGTAAGATTTCTTCTTCTGTGGTATGACTGTGTTCCTTCCTCTGCCCCAGTGTGGGTGGAGGCTCTGTGGTTTCTAAACGACCAGGTGACTCAGAAGAAAAGTTTGTCCATCTGAACCATTTTGAGTTTTATTAATGAACAGATCAGCTCTGTGTTCTATTTCCTCCAGGCCTCCAGAGGGCAGCACGTCTATCGGCTCTCCTTTCTCACTGTGGGAACATGAAGGAACACGGTTTCTCCATGGCTGAAAACAAACCTGAATTTGATCTTCTGCCGTAGGATGTGCTCCATCCAGGCCTCCATGAAAGCCGTCATGGTGACACTGAGCGCTCCGACACGAGCCTCTTCTGACAGCGGCGCCTCCAGGACTCGGCCAATCACAGCCTGAGCTGCCAGTGATGCGTATTCACTGGGGCTGCTGGGGAGGCCTAGACAGCATCACAAAGATCCACATGAACATCAGCAGAGAACAAAGTTCTCCAGACAGGAGGAGGTTCTGATCAGCAGAGCAGAACCGGATCACCTGAAAAAGATCTGGAAGTTCTGGAGCTGCTTCCTGCTAATTAAGATATTCAGCTGAAGTTACAGTGCTCCACCTAAGCTACACCTCAACTATACCTAAGCTACACCTCAGCTACACCACAACTCTGCCTCAACTCCACCTAAACTCCACCTCAGCTACACCACAACTCCACCTCAGCTACACCACAACTCCACCTCAGCTACACCACAACTCCGCCTCAACTCCACCTCAGCTACACCACAACTCCGCCTCAACTCCACCTAAACTCCACCTCAGCTACACCTCAACTATACCTAAGCTACACCACAACTCCACCTCAGCTACACCTCAACTATACCTAAGCTACACCTAAACTCCACCTCAGCTACACCTCAACTATACCTAAGCTACACCTCAACTCCACCTCAGCTACACCTCAACTATACCTAAGCTACACCTAAACTCCACCTCAGCTACACCTCAACTATACCTAAGCTACACCTCAACTCCACCTCAGCTACACCTCAACTACACCTCAGCTACACCACAACTCCGCCTCAACTCCACCTCAACTATACCTCAGCTACACCTCAACTACACCTCAGCTACACCACAACTCCGCCTCAACTCCACCTCAACTATACCTCAGCTACACCTCAACTACACCTCAGCTACACCTCAGCTACACCTCAACTACACCTCAGCTACACCACAACTCCGCCTCAACTCCACCTCAACTACACCTCAGCTACACCACAACTCCGCCTCAACTCCACCTCAGCTACACCTCAGCTACACCTCAACTCCACCTCAGCTACACCACAACTCCACCTCAACTCCACCTCAGCTACACCTCAACTCCACCTCAACTCCACCTCAACTCCACCTCAGCTACACCTCAACTCCACCTCAGCTACACGTCAGCTACACCTCAACGACACCTCAGCTACACCACAACCTCACCTCAACTCCACCTCAGCTACACCTCAGCTACACCACAACTCCACCTCAACTCCACCTCAGCTCCACGTCAGCTACACCTCAACTACACCTCAGCTACACCTCAGCTACACCTCAACTACACCTCAGCTACACCACAACTCCACCTAAACTACACCTCAGCTACATGTCAGCTACACCTCAACTCCACCTCAACTTCACCTCAGCTACACGTCAGCTACACCTCAACTCCACCTCAACTACACCTCAGCTACACCACAACTCCACCTCAACTACACCTCAGCTACACGTCAGCTACACCTCAACTCCACCTCAGCTACACCACAACTCCACCTCAGCTACACCACAACTCCACCTCAACTCCACCTCAGCTACACCACAACTCCACCTAAACTCCACCTCAGCTACACCACAACTACACCTCAACTCCACCTCAACTACACCTCAACTTTACCTCAGCTACACGTCAGCTACACCTCAACTCCACCTCAGCTACACCACAACTACACCACAACTACACCTCAACTACACCTCAGCTACACCACAACTCCACCTCAACTCCACCTCAACTACACCTCAGCTACACCACAACTCCACCTCAACTCCACCTCATCTACACCTCAGCTACACCACAACTCCACCTCAACTTTACCTCAGCTACACGTCAGCTACACCTCAACTCCACCTCAGCTACACCTCAACTACACCTCAGCTACCCCACAACTCTGCCTCAACTACACCTCATTTACACCTCAGCTACACCACAACTCCGCCTCAACTCCACCTCAACTACACCACAACTCTGCCTCAACTACACCTCATTTACACCTCAGCTACACCACAACTCCGCCTCAACTCCGCCTCAACTCCACCTCAACTACACCTCAGCTACACCTCAGCTACACGTCAGCTACACCTCAACTCCACCTCAGCTACACCACAACTCCACCTAAACTACGCCTCAGCTACACCACAACTCCACCTCAGCTACACCACAACTCCACCTAAACTACGCCTCAGCTACACCACAACTCCACCTCAACTACACCTCAGCTACACCCAGAGGCGCACCTTGTCAACAGGCAAACCAAGCAACTGCTTGGAGCCCCGAGCCGCTGGGGGCCCCCGAGAGCCAGCTACTGTACATCCGGTAGATAAACAGCAACAGGCGAGCATGAAGTGGCAACGCTATAGTGACTGAGGAGATGCACAACTGCATTTAAAAAATTCCGATTGGATGGAATGTTGATTGACATTGGCTTTGGCCAGTCAAAATCCAGCCCAGCCCAGCCCAGGTGGATGACATCCCTTAATAAAAATGAACGTAGCCTAGCGAATGGGTGACGTTGTAGGCCTATCGTTCAGTAAATTGGAAAGCAATAATGTAACTAAGCTGAAGGAAAATGATTCATTTTCCATGTCTCAAGAGAGACTTTCAGGACTGGCGCTTATTTCTATAGAGTATAGCGTGCGAAGGTCTTTGGATCTGGAGGACTTAGTGTCTGCATTTGCACAAGCCAAGGCCTGTAAGCAGCAATTCTGGAAGCAGTATAGGACCTAGTGTTTATTTCGTTAACGAAAACTAAACGAAAATATTTTCGTCAACGCACATTTTTCACCAAACGAAAACTAGACGAGACGAGACGAAAATCCCCACTAATAAACAATAACTGGGAGTAAATCAGAAATCATTTTCGTTGACTAATAAAGACGAGACGAAAATGCAGTTCGGTAAATAAAGACTGGACTAAAATCTATGGACATTTTAGTTCACGAACAAAGACGAGACGAAAATTATATATTATTATTTTCTGTTTTTTTTTTCAAATCCTGTCTCGTGTCCTCCTCCTCCTCCTCGTCAGCTCCCACACACCCACTTTCAAACCCGGAGCGGGCACAGAGTAGCCTACTCCGGGACTCGGGAGAAAGAGGAGACGTGCTATATGGACACATTTTCGCTTTTAAGTGGAGAACAAACCCAAATGCTTGATTTTAGTGGAAGGGAAGGAATATGGCCACATGATGGCTGGAAAAAACACAACAAACCTGAAGAGACGCGTCGCAGTTCACCACAAAGACATTACGGTAAGTTACCAGAAAGATTGGTGGTGATTGTTTATAATGTAACATTAAATCGACGGCTATAATATCCCAATGATAAACTAACTGATGTTGGCTAACTTTCATAGTATTTAGTATCCAGGCTGGCTACGTTACGTTAGCTTGTTAGCACGTAGCGACGGTAGCCACTTGTTGATAGCATAGTATGTAAAGTTAAATTTATGCTAACTTGGATATGTTATACTGGCCGGGCAACTATAGTTTCTGTTAAATTGCAAGTTTGATTAAAGCAGACAGACGTTTTAGGTTATCTAGGAGCAGCAAGTGAACTATAGTTAACAGAAAACACCTCGGCAGCTACACATGTATGCTAAATGCTAAAAGGAACTGACACTATTTATCAGGATAAGACAAAATAAAAATAATATGCCACACATAATTCAGAGCAACTTTAACCTAGATTTTCATATACAAAATAGTCATTGCTAGGGGAACCACTGCAGGGATGTCTTTATTTGGTGACATAAAATGCTGCTCTGTTTATCTGCACATTACTATTACAAGGACATTTGAATTGAATTGGCATCAATATGTGCAATCAATATATGCAACCAAAATGCATGCACACCTAAAAATGAATGCAATTTATTCCTGCATTAAATGATAGTTAGGTTGTTTGTATGAGTTTGAAATGGATGGTGAAATGTAGTTTTTATAGAGACTTAGTTTTTGTTAAGGAAAAAAAGAGACCTATATGCTACTTATACACTTGGAATTCGTGTTATGCTGTGCATCTATCCTAACATTGTATTAATTTCTGTTCCAGATTGAAGATACACCACCACCAACAACAACAACAACCTACCAGCCACCTAGAAACAATGACAGGCCAGCTAAAGCTGGAAGGAAAGCACTTTTGTTGTATCAGTTGGAGTTTTTTATTTATTTATTTTTTTAACAACATTGACCTCAAATCTATTTATTTTATTATTCAATGTGAACTAGCTTTAAACAGCCAGCACTTGTGTAAAGTTCATAAGACACTTTATTTTATTTATTTGTTTCCTTTGCCAGGTGTGTTTTATTTGTTTTAATGCAAGCATTTGTGTTTGTGTTCAAAATAAATATGCAAATATTGTCAGAACATCTTCCATGTCTGCATGTGTTCCTTAAAATTGTGTTTTTTATTAAAAAGATGAGAGAAAATGTTGAAATAATTTTAGGAAATCTTAAACGTTATCTGCTGACAAAAAAGTAAAAGGTTAAAATTATATCCTGACTAAAACTAGACTAAAATGTTGACAGTTTTTGGTGACTAAAACTAAACTAATAAAATTATGTTTTCTTGGACTAAAATAAAGACTAAAATGCTCTGACTTAAGTCGACTAAAACTAGACTAAATAAAAATGCGATGATGTCGACTAAATGTGATAAAAACTAACAAGCGATGCTGAAACTGGACTAAGACTAAAACTAAATTTAAAAATGGCTGCTAAAATTAACACTAGGACCCCAATAATTTCACTACACTTACTATACTTTATATTTTGTACAAAGTTTATATTGGGTTTTTAAAGTAATTTACTGTTTTTTTTTTTATTATACATTTATTTTAATTTATTAGTTTATTCTTTACTTTTATTCTTTTATATTTTCCACAATAACAAGGTTGTTCATGTTTAGAACATTTGGAATAAAAAAAGTTTTATTTAATACATTTTTCTTTGGTATCAGATTATTTATAGCCTAACATAATGGTGATGAACACTGGTCAGGAGGGCCCCCTAGGATTTTTTGCTTGGGGCCCCCACAGACTCTAGAATCGCCTCTGGCTACACCACAACTCCACCTCAACTACACCTCAACTACACCTCAGCTACACCACAACTCCACCTCAACTACACCTCAGCTACACCACAACTCCACCTCAACTACACCTCAGCTACACCACAACTCCACCTCAACTACACCTCAGCTACACCACAACTCCACCTCAACTACACCTCAGCTACACCACAACTCCGCCTCAACTACACCTCAGCTACACCACAACTCCACCTCAACTACACCTCAGCTACACCACAACTCCACCTCAACTACACCTCAGCTACACCTCAGCTACACCACAACTCCACCTCAACTACACCTCAGCTACACCACAACTCCACCTCAACTACACCTCAGCTACACCTCAGCTACACCACAACTCCACCTCAACTACACCTCAGCTACACCTCAGCTACACCACAACTCCGCCTCAACTACACCTCATTTACACCTCAGCTACACCACAACTCCACCTCAACTACACCTCAGCTACACCACAACTCCACCTCAACTACACCTCAGCTACACCACAACTCCACCTCAACTACACCTCAGCTACACCACAACTCCGCCTCAACTCCACCTCAACTACACCTCAGCTACACCTCAACTACACCTCAGCTACACCACAACTCCACCTAAACTACACCTCAGCTACACCTCAACTACACCACAACTACACCTAAACTACACCTCAGCTACACCACAACTCCGCCTCAACTCCACCTCAACTACACCTCAGCTACACCTCAACTACACCTCAGCTACACCACAACTCCACCTAAACTACACCTCAGCTACACCTCAACTCCACCTCAGCTACACGTCAGCTACACCTCAACTCCACCTCAGCTACACCACAACCTCACCTCCACCTCAACTCTACCCCAGCTCCACCATGTCTCCTAGGAAACTGTCGTCAGTCCTCCTGCTTCAAGGATTTTTTAGGTTTGTTAATCAAATCGAACTTTAGAAGGGAGCAACGACTGGATGCTGAGAGGATGAGGAGGAGGAACCTGGAATGAAACTGGACCCGCCCTGCTGGGTCCGGTCTGTACCTGTCCTTTGGCCTGGTCTCCAGTGGACTGCAGGAGGCATGGTGCGTTCAAAGATCTCCCCTGACATCCGCTTGCAATCAGTAGAGAAGTTCTCCAGCACCAGAGAGGAGAAGTCCTGGTGGAAGAACATCAGTCAACAAGCTGTGGAACATGTGTAGATGTCAAGAAGTGGCTGTGGAAGGAAGCCCCGCTTTGAAGCAGTTTTATGGAGGAACCAGGACTCCAGTTCAATGAGATTTAATGTGCTTCAGATGGACAAACTGTCTCAGATAAAAGATGTGAGAATAATCCATCTACACAAAGAAGAGCATCATTTGAAGAAGGAATGAGAAAAGCCGCTCCTCATCATCACCTTTAGCTCATTTGCAGCCCCATCCAGAGCGTCCAGCTGGTTCCTCAGGAGGCGCTGATGATAGCTCCTGGCAGTGGGATGATGCTCCGAGTCGAGGCTCCTCAGAAAGGACTTTGTGAGATCCATCATCTGCTCCACAGAATCCATTAACATCTACAGCATGAGGAACCACAGCAGTCAGCCACACGGATAGAAATAAAACTCCTCTACAGGGAAAAACTACAGAAATACCACAGAAGTCCTCACATAGATAGGACTCTACTTACAGGTTTCCATGGAAACCACAGTACCATCATTTTCACGCTTTTGCAGCAGATGGTCAACATGAAACCTTTTCTAAGGGGCAACCAGAACTATGTTTTCTGGGCAGAACCCCTTCAGAGCTGTCAAAGGTGGACCCCCTTGTTCCACCAGGATCCTGCCTGAAGCACCGGCCTCCCGGCGCTGAGTTAGATAGTTTCTACCATCCTTTATACATCTGGAGATTGGCAAAATGTAAGCGAACACTAAAGCAATGAGAGCAGGGGAGCGGTTTGACCAGGAGACTCAGCCAATAGGTTTAAGAATGGGAAACAGCTGGTTTCCCACCACCCGCTGAGCAGCCATGGCTGCGTCCTCCATCTGCTTCCATTGTTAATGTTTACTTTGATTTGTTAATAAAGCTTTAATGGCTGAAAGGAGACCTGTTGATCATGGGAAAGATGGCTTCCATAACCAGAACATATCAGGGTAGCTGCTAGCCTTGCATCAGGATAGGCCCTGTTTCCATCCTAAAATAAGTCTAAGAATTCTCTGAATGTTGTTGCTCTTTAGCTAATTTTCTGGCTCTCCATGAAGCAGAAAGACGCACCGGCAGATCTCCCTGTGAGACCAGCAGGAACCGTTCTGGACTCCAGGAGGAGAGGAACTGCTGAGCTTTAGACTCCACCCACACCGTGCAGATTTGGAGCGAGGCTAACAGTGCAGCCGCGGTGTGTCTCTGCAGAACACAGCTGGGCAGAAGGAGGCCAGAAGCTTCTGGAAGGAGAAGAAGAAGCTGTTAGAGACCCCATGGTCCAGACTGGCACAACCATTTCTAACATGATGAGCTAAATGTTCTGTTTTCACTGAAGGTTCAGACTAACAATAAATCAGCTGATGATGAATTTAAAACCTCGAACTGGAAACAGCAGAACATTAGGACAGCTGTTCTTACCGGGCGCCGAGCGGATGGACAGAAAGAAGCCCAGAGACGCCAGCAGAGGGGGGAGCAGTTGGAGGAAGTGTCTCATGGTCTGGGATGTCGTCCTTTCATCTGCTGCACAGCTGCTGCTCTCACTTCTGAGACATTTATCCTTCAGGGCTGAACCTATACCTCTGCACACAACTAAAAACATACGGAACGGAACGTTAGCATGAAATGAACCACATGTGATGTCGATGTGTCGGTCTGCAATTCTGTTCAGTTTATTTATATATCGCCACTTCACAACACGTCATCTCAAGGCACTTTACAGTTCACCACAGTAATATCAGTTCACCACAGCAACGCCCCGCCTCCAGCCTCCCTCTGAATTGCTGCTGGAAGGGAAGCAGAAGAAAAACTCCTTCTGCTCCACTAATCTTTGCTCAGTTTACTGCCTTCACAGTAACTCGCATTCACAGTCCTAATGTTTCACTCGCGTTCACAGTCGGAATGTTTCACTATCGTCCACAGTCCTAATGTTTCACTCGCGTTCACAGTCGGAATGTTTCACTCGCGTTCACAGTCGGAATGTTTCACTCGCGTTCACAGTCGGAATGTTTCACTCGTGTTCACAGTCCTAATGTTTCACTCGCGTTCAGTCGGAATGTTTCACTCGCGTCCACAGTCCTAATGTTTCACTCGTGTTCACAGTCGGAATGTTTCACTCGCGTTCACAGTCGTAACGTTTCACACCTGTTCAGTCAGAATGTTTCACTCGCGTTCACAGTCGGAATGTTTCACTATCGTCCACAGTCCTAATGTTTCACCCGCGTTCACAGTCGGAATGTTTCACTCACGTTCACAGTCGGAATGTTTCACTCGGAATGTTTCACTCGCGTTCACAGTCGGAATGTTTCACTCGCGTTCACAGTCGGAACGTTTCACTCGCGTTCACAGTCGTAACGTTTCACACCTGTTCACAGTCAGAATGTTTCACTCGCGTTCACAGTCGGAATGTTTCACTATCGTCCACAGTCCTAATGTTTCACTCGCGTTCACAGTCGGAATGTTTCACTCGGTTCACAGTCGGAATGTTTCACTCGTGTTCACAGTCCTAATGTTTCACTCGCGTTCAGTCGGAATGTTTCACTCGTGTTCACAGTCGGAATGTTTCACTCGCGTTCACAGTCGTAACGTTTCACACCTGTTCACAGTCAGAATGTTTCACTCGCGTTTACAGTCGGAATGTTTCACTATCGTCCACAGTCCTAATGGTTCACTCACGTCCACAGTCGTAACGTTTCACTCGCGTCCACAGTCGGAACGTTTCACTCGCATTCACAGTTGGAACGAGTCACTCGCGTTCACAGTCGGAACGTTTCACTCGCGTTCACAGTCGGAACGTTACACTCCTGTTCACAGTCGGAACGTTTCACTCGCGTTCACAGTAGGAACGTTTCACACCTGTTCACAGTCAGAATGTTTCACTCGCGTTCACAGTCGTAATGTTTCACTCGCGTCCACAGTCCTAATGTTTCACTCGCGTCCACAGTCAGAACGTTTCACTCGTGTCCACAGTCGGAACGTTTCACTCGCGTTCACAGTCTGAACGTTTCACTCGCGTTCACAGTCTGAACGTTTCACTCGCGTTCACAGTCGGAACGTTTCACTCGCGTTCACAGTCGGAACGTTTCACTCGCGTTCACAGTCGGAACGTTTCACTCGCGTTCACAGTCTGAACGTTTCACTTGTGTTCAAAATCAGAATGTTTCACTTGTGTTCAGATCACAGCTTATCGCAGCATATCGCATCTTATCGCAGCTTTTGCAGCAGATCGCAGCATATCAAAGCTTATTGCCACTTATCGCAGCTAATTGGAGCAGAACGCAGCCTATGGCTTTCACCTCTTTATTAAAATAACAAATTTCCCAGATTTGCCTCTGAATCACCAGTAGCCCCAGAAACCGTCCCATAGCCTTTGTTGCTGCGTCGTTCTTTTCTCTAAACATTATATTTTATATTCAATAAATGTGTTGTTTCTTTCGTAATTGTTTGTTTTATACTCGTTCACAGGATTTGCTCCAAACGCAGTCAGAAGGACATGGAAGAAATGCGAGATTGTAGGTGCTTTAAATGAGGCTGTTAGCCCAGCTAGCGGTTAGCGGCCCATCTGCTCCGACTTTCCGCTCCGTGTTTTCTTTACACCAGGGGTAACCAAAGAGAAACCAGTGGGGTCCGAATAAAGAAAATCATCAAACACTAAAGGTTTGGAGACATTTTTAATAAAAATCTGTTACTTTAAACAGAATTTAACACGGAAAAAAAGCAGGTTTTAACGCATCCATGTTATACATTTTATTTTTAAGCGGAGGATGCGGGATTTTGGGGTAAGACACTGTTGTCGGACAAAATGCAGTAATTTATAAATGTTTTAAATCAGGCTGGGTCTGGATTAGCCAGCAGGTGGGTCCGGATCCGGACGGCAGTCCGCTAATCCGTCACCTCTGCCTTACACCAACAACAGCCTGAGCCTGTTTTCTCCTTTTTAAGGTCAAAATGACGGAAATATCTAAGATGGGCTATGAAAACCGATCCAACTCATATTAATGCAGGAGGTGATGTTTGGTCTGCAGACCAACAGCACACCTCCTTTAGACAGTCGCTAAGCTAACGGCAAGCAGCAGCAGGTCTGCTGTGCTGCACTGACCTGAGTCCCAGTGGGCCAGTGCTGATTGGACCAACAGGTTCAGCCTGAAGTCCTGCAGGACGGTTCTGAACTCCTCTGGAAACAGACCTGAAACAGACCAAAGTAAACCATGACTGATCACATCCTGCAGCCTTCCTGTTCCAACATGGCAGAAGATAAACCAACAGTCCTTCACCTTGAGTGTTAGAATATGGCCTTCATGAAGCAATGCTTTAAAGTCGTAGGGAAGCAGCTGTCCCATTCGTTGAATTTACGAATTCTCCCGGGTGGTGCCCGACTTTACACGAGTGAATGAAGTGAATATGATTGGTCGATTATCAAGGGGGTGGGATTGTTGTGGCGGAAGGTTCGCAAGCTTTTTGGTTGTGGCCGGTTTGTCGGAAGCATCTTGCTAACCAGTTAGCAACTTAGTGCTAGAAGGTTCCCAATGGGAAATTCCATTGGGACCAAGTAGCACTAAATTGGTGACTTAGAAACGACGCTGTCATGGAACGCTATGGACAGAGGAAACATGCAAGAGGAGGAGAGTTTAGTGTCGGAGGTCGTGGATGAGTCTCCTCCGTCATCCATTTTTTATTTAGAGGAGGAAAGCGGGGACGAAGATGTTGTGGAAGAGGACGCCAGGGCGGCAGAAGCTTGGTTTGGTGTAGAAGGCTTCCAGCCGTACATGTTTGAGCCCTTGCCTCGCAAGTTCTGTTAGCTCTACGCCTGCTGAAGACACAGACGTCCATCCCCGTGAACACTGGGACGCAACTCAATGGGAAAGGAAATTATTCTGATTTCTATTTTCAACCGTTGAGTATATTAGCTGCGACATATGAATCAAGATGCTATGATCAAAAAAATTTGATTGACAGATGATTGTTGATATATGATTGGTCGAATTTAGGTGTTCAGGCTGACGTATAACTAACTGGCCTGCAGAAGATAAAGGGAAAAAAAAAAACTTTCTAAAAAAAATTTCTAAATTTTGGGACAATATGGTCTGATAAGACATTTATATACATGTTTAAGCCATGATTTGACATTTTAATATGACTAATATGGCGGCAAATGTGGTCCAGATTACATAGAGCCTTTCTCCCTCTAGCCCAAAGGGGGCGCTAGGAGAGCTAGGAGGGCCTCACCAAACCGAGCCTCATCAGAACCGAAGGCCTCTCCTACTGAAGGATGTTAGATCGGGTCCAGTCTGATTGGTTCTGACGGTGGTATGCGGTGTTAGAACCAACCAATACAGGTACCAAAAACCAAGCAGCTTACCGGTTTCCATAGCAGCGGTCAAGCTGATCAAAACCTTCAGTCTCCTCTGGTCGTCATGGAGACGGGTCCCGTTCACTTTTAGCCAGAGTCCTTTGGAGCAGAAGGTCCACAGTTGGTACTGGTACTGTTCTAGCAGATCTGGGAGGAGCAGCGGTTGACCCAAGTCCATCCTCTGCACACACTGAGGTCCGCCAACAGAACCGGGCTTGACTGGACCTGTCCCAGCTCCCTCTTTGGTTCCGATCCTGAAGGTCTGCTCCCACAGCAGAGCGGAGCTGAAAAACGCAGACAGTCATCAGCAGAACCCAGCGTTAGCATTGCAGCAGTTCTGTTCGGTTTGCAGGCGCTGAACTGATCAAGTTCTGGTGAGCATGGCTCAAACACAGTCACCCCTGCTCCTGATGGACGCAACAGAACATCTGGAGACATTCGGGCTGCGGGCAGCAGAACATCTGCAACATCTGGAGACATTCTGGCTGCAGGCAGCAGAACATCTGGAACATCTGGAGACATTCTGGCTGCAGGCAGCGGAACATCTGGAGACATTCTGGAGACATTCTGGCTGCAGGCAGCAGAACATCTGCAACATCTGGAGACATTCAGGCTGCAGTCAGCAGAACATCTGGAGACATTCTGGAGACATTCTGGCTGCAGGCAGCAGAACATCTGCAACATCTGGAGACATTCTGGCTGCAGGCGGCAGAACATCTGGAGACATTCTGGAGACATTCTGGCTGCAGGCAGCAGAACATCTGGAGACATTCTGGCTGCAGGCAGCAGAACATCTGGAGACATTCTGGAGACATTCTGGCTGCAGGCAGCAGAACATCTGCACATCTGGAGACATTCAGGCTGCAGGCAGCAGAACATCTGGAGACATTCTGGCTGCAGGCAGCACAACATCTGCAACATCTGGAGACATTAATGGCTGCAGGCAGCAGAACATCTGGAGACATTCTGGCTAAAGGCAGCACAACATCTGCAACATCTGGAGACATTCAGGCTGCAGGCAGCAGAACATCTGGAGACATTCTGGCTGCAGAACATCTGGAGAAGATGTCAGTAGGAGGGAATAGTTACCCAGTGAAGAAGACTACGGACAGCAGTGAGCATCCTCTTCATCAGAGACTGTAACCTCAGCCGGAGGTGCTTACCTCACTGCATCGTTCGGTTCTGCAGCCTTTCCCTCCTCGGTCCAGTCGGCTCCGGTTCCGTCCATGTCCTGAGCGCTCTTTGGATGAGCCGCTGCATCTGGAACAGAACTCCCTGTAACCGGGCCGAGGCCAGCTGGTGGTTCTGCTGCTGTGGGCCTTGGAGATGCCAGAGGACCAACAGAGGTCAGGAGAACCTGAAGCAGTGGTTCTAAGGAGGACCAATCACAGCGAGGAGCAGGCAGACCTGAGGCATGATGGGAGCCACTGACAGCAAGACGGGTCCACTTCTGGGAACTGGCTGGTTCTTCTGGGTCGGATGCAGAGCTTCTGGGCTCAGTGAGGCCAGACTGGCTGCTTTGGCTGCACTGATGATGATGATGGTGAGGGGGAAGGCTGAAGAGAGGGCGGGGCTTATCACACAAAGATGAAACCTGAGGGAAGGTTTGCTTCTGGAACTGAAGGGGAGATGAGGTCCTGTACATCTGCCACAACTGTTCCCAGGTGATGCTGGGAACGCCACAGCTGCATTCAGGAACCGGACCGACCCAGTTGCTAACGTCACAGCTCTGCTCTGAGATCCACAGTTCCAGATGTGTGGTGACGGTTTCTGCTCGCCGGAGGGCCAGAATCTTCATCAGGGATGTAGTAAAGGGCTGAGGAAGACCGCGGCAAAGTTTGGACTGACTGAGCTGCTCCTCCACTGCCTGCTCAAACTGCTCCGCTCCTGCTAGGAGGTCCGCCAGAACCGGGTCGCTCTCGCCGCTTCCCAGCACAGACAGAACCCCGTAAACATACTGATCCATTAAGACCAGGAGCTTTGAGGCCTGCAGGTCCAGAGTCCGCTTCATTTCCTCTAGCATTCTAGTCTGAGGGAGCAGGGCCCGCCTGAGGCACGGGTCAGGAGCCACTCCACTGTAGAGGCAAGTCCAGTGGGTCAGATGGAGACGGAACTCCTGGATTAGAGAGACCAGGCAGGTTCTGGATGAAGGCGAGCTGGACGGGACCTGAAAACAACGGTCCAGTTTAGGAACTGATCCTCCAAAAATAACAACAAGCAGTGAATCTTCTGGGTACCGGTCCACTTTCACCCCAAAGATTCTCTCTGCAATCAGGCATGCAACCAAAACCAGTCTGACCAGGGAGTTAGCAACGCATCACCTCCCCCAACAACCACTAACCCCTCCAGGTGGCCTCCACAGTGGGAGGTTCAGCCCCCCCAACAACCACTAACCCCCCCAGGTGGCCTCAGCCCCCCCAACAACCACTAACCCCCCAGGTGGCCTCCACAGTGGGAGGAATCAGCCCCCCCAAACAACCACTAACCCCCCAGGTGGCCTCCACAGTGATAGGGATCAGCCCCCCCAACAACCACTAACCCCCCAGGTGGCCTCCACAGTGAGAGGGATCAGCCCCTCCTAACAACCACTAACCCCCCAGGTGGCCTCCACAGTGATAGGGATCAGCCCCCCCAACAACCACTAACCCCCCAGGTGGCCTCCACAGTGATAGGGATCAGCCCCCCCTCAACAACCACTAACCCCCCCAGGTGGCCTCCACAGTGGGAGGGATCAACCACCCCAAAAACTACTAACCCCCCAGGGTGGCCTCCACAGTGGGAGGGATCAGCCCCACCAACAACTACTAACCCCCCCAGGTGGCCTCCACAGTGGGAGGGATCAGCCCCACCAACAACTACTAACCCCCCCAGGTGGCCTCCACAGTGAGAGGGATCAGCCCCCCCTAACAACCACTAACCCCCCAGGTGGCCTCCACAGTGATAGGGATCAGCCCCCCCAACAACCACTAACCCCCCAGGTGGCCTCCACAGTGAGAGGGATCAGCCCCCCCTCAACAACCACTAACCCCCCCAGGTGGCCTCCACAGTGGGAGGGATCAACCACCCCAAAAACTACTAACCCCCCAGGGTGGCCTCCACAGTGGGAGGGATCAGCCCCACCAACAACTACTAACCCCCCCAGGTGGCCTCCACAGTGGGAGGGATCAGCCCCACCAACAACTACTAACCCCCCCAGGTGGCCTCCACAGTGGGAGGGATCAACCACCCCAAAAACTACTAATCCCCCCAGGGTGGCCTCCACAGTGGGAGGGATCAGCCCCACCAACAACTACTAACCCCCCCAGGTGGCCTCCACAGTGGGAGGGATCAGCCCCACCAACAACTACTAACCCCCCCAGGGTGGCCTCCACAGTGGGGGGGATCAGAGCCACCTTTGATTCCTCGTCGGTACTCCACATTCTCACACAATCATCTTTACACAAATTACTCCACAAAATTATTTAGTTTCATATTTTCTGACTCTAATAATTCTAATAATATTCTAAAGCTTTTATTTCTGGTGCTTCTAATGGGTGTTAGAGAGGTTAGAGTCCCGGGTTCAGGCCAGAAACATGAAGCGGGATCTGCGGCTAACGTCAATCATTACCTGTTGATTAGATTTCATTTACACCTCAAACCTTCATCTGATCAGGATTCCTCTGACAGACCAGTCTGGCTGCTGGGCTAGCTAAGCTAACTGGGCGCTAGTAGCTGTGGGAATCAAACCGGCTCAGGGATTTCCTGCTGCCTATATTCGTCTGTAGAGACTGAAAGTTCAGATCGGCCATTTATGAGGACTGTGGTGAAAACAGTGATGGCTGGAATCTAAAATGTGGCGGAAAGGTGAGGTTATTGTAGCAATTCAATCTAAACTATTTAGAGAAAAACATTCGGAGTAATGATCTGATGGAGCTTTAGAAACTAGAAAACATTCATTCTCAGACTTAATTTTCATGTCCAATGAAGTTAGCGTGAGTTTACCCGTCTATATCCATATATGAACACACATGTATTTATTTATCCTAATCTATGCTGGCAGGGCAGCAGAGATCACGAGTTGGACTCTGTAGGTTTGTGGGGATCATCTTATCCACTGTCTACAGATTCTACTGGATATAGATCTACGTTTATTAGGACATCCACTTTAATAAGGACCATTTTCTGTCTGTTGCTGTAGACATCTGAGCTCTACCTGGTGGCACAACAGGAAGGAGGAAAAAGCAGACAGACGGTTTTCATGCTGTCGTTCCCCTCTGACCTGATTTAAAGGAAGCTCCTGCAGCAAGTGGATCAGTCTGGATATGAAAGCTGCTGAAAGGCGAACCCTCCTGGTGAATTCATGGATGAAGAGCAGCAGAGACCGCTGCTCCATGAGCCTCCACAGAGCCGGATACTGCTCCTACAGGACAGAGGACAGATAGACCACATTAAGACTGGCAGGACAGAAAGACAACCTTCAGATGGGCAGGACAGAAAGACAACCTTAAGACGGAGAGAACAGGACAGGATGGGAAGACCACCTTAACATGGGCAGGAAAGGACAGGACAGAATGACCACCCTAAGATGGACAGGACAGAAAGACCACCTTAAGATGGACAGGACAGATGACCACCTTAACATGGACAGAACAGGAAGACCGGAATCCGTATCAGAAATACTTTAATGATCCCAGGGGAAAATTGTCTTTGTTACACGCTCCAGGTATACAAACAACATATCCATAGATGCACTTTCCAGTTCACCAGATCATCCAGTCAGAATTATTCAAAGTTTTCTATCTAAGGAAAACCAGTTGATTGCATCGACTCATTGAATCTTCAGCAATCCCTCACACTAAGCATGTTTGTAGCGACAGTGGAGAGGAAAAACTCCCTTTTAACAGGAAGAAACCTCCAGCAGAACCAGGCTCAGTGTGAGCGGCCATCTGCTGAGGCCCACTGGGGTTCAAGGAGACAGAAGCAGAGATACAAAAGGCAACTGCCAACCAGCTCCACAGGCGGCCCCGTCCAGGAAACACACAGCCAGCCAGATGAGCTCCGAGCCAGCTCCCATGTCAGAGGATGAAGAGAGCACATCCAGCCAGTCACAGTCAGAGAAACAGGACTACACTGGAAAACAGGCAGATCTCCAACATCTATAAACAAAGGTGTTGATGGCAGCAGCACAGCTGATATTTCTCTCCAGGATGGAGTCACAGCCAAACAGGAACAGACCAGATGAAGCTACTATGAGAAAAAGCAGAGAGAGCAGAACGTTAGAGATTGAACTAATAGATTCTGCAGAGTGGGAGAATAGAGATAGAATGAAGCAGAGTAGTGAAAAAGGCATCCCTATGTCCTCCAGCAGTCTAAGCCTATAGCAGCATAACTATAGAGATAGCTCAGGATAACCTGAGCCACTCTCTATCTCTCTCTCACTTTCTCTCTCTCTCTCTACATATATATATATATATATATATATATATACACTATATTGCCAAAAGTATTTGCTCACCCATCCAAATTATTGGAATCAGGTGTTCCAATCACTTCCATGGCCACAGGTGTATAAATTCAAGCACCTAGGCATGCAGACTGTTTTTACAAACATTTGTGAAAGAATGGGTCGCTCTCAGGAGCTCAGTGAATTCCAGCGTGGAACTGTGATAGGATGCCACCTGTGCAACAAATCCAGTCGTGAAATTTCCTCGCTCCTAAATATTCCACAGTCAACTGTCAGCTGTATTATAAGAAAATGGAAGTGTTTGGGAACGACAGCAACTCAGCCACGAAGTGGTAGGCCACGTAAACTGACGGAGCGGGGTCAGCGGATGCTGACGCGCATAGTGCGAAGAGGTCGCCAACTTTCTGCAGAGTCAATCACTACAGACCTCCAAACTTCATGTGGCCTTCAGATTAGCTCAAGAACAGTGCGCAGAGAGCTTCATGGAATGGGTTTCCATGGTCGAGCAGCTGCATCCAAGCCATACATCACCAAGTGCAATGCAAAGCGTCGGATGCGGTGGTGTAAAGCACGCCGCCACTGGACTCTAGAGCAGTGGAGACGCGTTCTCTGGAGTGACGAATCGCGCTTCTCCATCTGGCAATCTGATGGACGGGTCTGGGTTTGGCGGTTGCCAGGAGAACGGTACTTGTCTGACTGTATTGTGCCAAGTGTAAAGTTTGGTGGAGGGGGGATTATGGTGTGGGGTTGTTTTTCAGGAGCTGGGCTTGGCCCCTTAGTTCCAGTGAAAGGAACTCTGAATGCTTCAGCATACCAAGACATTTTGGACAATTCCATGCTCCCAACTTTGTGGGAACAGTTTGGAGCTGGCCCCTTCCTCTTCCAACATGACTGTGCACCAGTGCACAAAGCAAGGTCCATAAAGACATGGATGACAGAGTCTGGTGTGGATGAACTTGACTGGCCTGCACAGAGTCCTGACCTCAACCCGATAGAACACCTTTGGGATGAATTAGAGCGGAGACTGAGAGCCAGGCCTTCTCGTCCAACATCAGTGTGCGACCTCACAAATGCGCTTCTGGAAGAATGGTCAAAAATTCCCATAAACACACTCCTAAACCTTGTGGACAGCCTTCCCAGAAGAGTTGAAGCTGTTCTAGCTGCAAAGGGTGGACCGACGTCATATTGAACCCTATGGATTAGGAACGGGATGTCACTTAAGCTCATATGTGAGTCAAGGCAGGTGAGCAAATACTTTTGGCAATATAGTGTATATTAGGGATGGAACGGTTTATGAAAACCGTCCGAACCGTTCGGTTCGACTGTCTCGGTTCGGTTGGCGCGTGTTGCGTTTGGTTCAAGCGCTGCTCCTTTTTCTCATAGGCAAAGCGTGTACACTCCAGAGCAGAAGGTGGCGGTGCTGCGACCAAAGCCAACCACCAGTAGTAGACAAGAAGAAGAAGAAGCGAAGCAGGGTAGCCGGGTGTAACAGAAATAAATCAGTTGTTGTGGAGAATTGTGTGGGTATGGCGAGTGGGAAAGAACAGGAGTTGTAAGACGCGCCAGCAGCACTTTATAGGTCTGCTGTATGGGACCACTTTGCATTTAGAGTGACCTACGATGACGGCGGAAAGAAAGTGGTGGATAAAAACAGTGTGCAAGCATTGTGCAACACGTTTTGTTTATGCTCCACTTATCTGGAACAAACTTCCAGAAAACTGTAAAAGTGCAGAAAGCCTGAGTTCCTTTAAATCAAGACTAAAAACACATTTGTTTAGGATTGCCTTCCACTGTTCAGGTTAAACAGTTCAACTAAAACATATTTTCTTTAGTCCTACTGTTTTTAATATTCTTTTTCGTTTCTGCATTTTTTCCTACTTGCTTTGATTCTGTTTTATCTTCCTATATTTTAATCATGTAAAGCACTTTGCATTGTCTTTGTTCTGAATTGTGCTATACAAATAAATTTGCCTTGCATTGCCACAGCAACACGACCAACATGTCAGGCTAACAATCAACATATACCAAACTGAACCGTGGATTTTGTGAACCGATCCACCCCTAATATATATATATAAAGCTTTTATTTTGAAATTGAAAAGAGACCCGGTTCCACTAGTGTTGGTGCCTTGGCAGACATTTGTTACACCAGGAGAGTTTTCTGAACAGAGCGGATGGACTCTGATCATGTTGACCAGGGTGGGACCATAGTGTTAGTAGTGAACTGGGGTTTGAATAATCAATAAATAATAATAGTAATAATAACTAGAAGAAGAAGAACTGATAGATAAACCAGCAGCTTTCTATTTATTTTTCTCTATTAGTGAGCTTCAATATTTTGTTGTTCTAATGCTCAGATTGATTATGGCTGCAGATTAAGTAAGAACAGAGTTTGTTGTTCCACAAAGGTCCAGAAAATTTCATGTATTGTTTATTTCTATAGAGCTAATTCACACCGCTTCATCTCAGGTTACTTTATATATTCAGATCAACCAGATCATCAAGTCAGATTGGCTCGGCTGGTTGCCGCAGTCCACTCAACATCACAACTTTTTTTTTAAATTACGCATTAAATCAGTAAATGGGCCATATAGTGATGCTTAAACGTATGATGTTCTCGCCTCAAATGATCTTAAAATGTACTTTTATTGAAAAACAGCAACAGAAAAGAGAACTTTTAGCTTAATCCTCTGAGTTCTGTGAGCGCTAACCTGGAAGCTGCTGCTGCTGCAGTGCATGCTGGGACAGCTGTCAGTCTGGAGAACAGAAAAGTCTGCTCTGATGCATGCTGGGTAAAGAGGGAGGGGCCAGAACAACATCCGGGGACTTTGTCTGTTTTCTTTCTTCTTGTTCTAGTGAATTTGAACAGCAATAGGGCTGAGGCTGATGACGTCTCACGAGCACACGAGAATGCACAAGTACACAGACTGAGAAACGGCCCTCAAACAGAACCAGAACCAGGCTCAGTGTTAGCGGCCATCTACTGAGGCCCACTGCGGCTTAAAGAGACAGAAGCAGACATAGAAAATGGATCCAGTCTGAAGAGGTCGTCTTTCACTCTGAAACAGAAAGCAGCCGACGCCTCTCGACTCTTCAGAAACTGCATCCAGTGGAACCAAGGGGTTAAAGGCATGGAACTCACCGGCAGAGATCCCACCGGGCACTGCTGGGACACCATAGTCAGAAGCTGTTCAGAGGACCGGGACACATGGTTGTGGTCCAAAACAAGGTCTTCCTCCTCTTCATCTTGACTGGACACGTGGAACAGAGACCCAGAGATGGACGTCTGTGGCCAGTTACCTGAATGGGTGTAAAAGCCATTAGTACCTGGAAGAGAACACCCTGAACACAACATCCCAACCAGGCAGTGACCTAATGGTCCAGCGGCGTTTTAAAAGTTTAAAAACCACAACCTCAGACCCACAGTGGAGGTACTTCTTACAAATGACCGATTACTGCAGTAATGCAGTAGAACGCCCTGAAGATTGGCTTAAAGAACAGTCTCATGAACAGCCTAGAGAACGACCTGAAGAACGCCCTAAACGACCTAGAGAAAGGCCTAAAGAAAAGTCAGAAGAACGGCCTGGAGAATTGTCTGAAGAACGGTCTGAACGGACTAGAGAAAGGCCTGAAGAACAGCCTAAAAACTACCTAAAGAACGGTCTGAAGAACAGCCTAGAGAATGACCTGAAAACGCCCTGAACGACCTAGAGAAAGGCCTAAAGAAAGGTCCGAAAAACGGCCTGGAGAATTGTCTGAAGAACGGTCTGAATGGACAAGAGAAAGGCCTGAAGAACAGCCTAAAAACGACGTAAAGAACGATCTGAAGAACGGCCTGAAGAACAGCCTAGAGAACGACCTGAAGAACACCCTGAATGACCTAGAAAAGGCCTAAAGAAAGCTCCGAAAAACGGTCTGGAGAATTGTCCGCCCAGGAAGCAGCTAGCTTAACCGCGCTGCGCCTGCACAGAAAGCCGGACAGGAATGATGTGAGGCCATCTAATATCGCTATTGGTCCACCGAAGGTCTGTTTGGCTTTTTAAAGACGTGCTGGTATACGGTGACGGCATGAATAAAGGGGGAGGCGGCTTGGCATTGAAGGCTGTCGTGGGAAAAAAGTACTCAACTATTCAGCCTAGTTAAATAAACGGAGATCGATGGATTTCACTCAGTCGGCACATTTCTTAATTTCTTTGCAAAGAGAGAACAGTTCATCATACAGCCCTAATGGCACAGCATTCTACTCTGTTCTGCCTGAGCAGCACTCGTTCCTCCTTACTTACAATAATGGAAAGGTAGTCAGAGTCAAAACAAATTACACTTTGGTTAAACAGTAACATGTTAAAAATAAACCTTGGTAAAGAATCTGGTTTGTTATGGGAAGAAGCTATGTCTGGTCTACAAACACCCTCACCAGAGAATGGTGTGGCCTTCAAGGTGAAACAGACTGAGCGAAAACTTTTATAGAGAGTAAATAGGATAAATTAATATATAATAGAAGAGAAATCTAAACTTTCAGGAATACGCTACAGTGCTAACTATGCTTAGTAGTGTGAAAGCCTTAAACAGGGCAGGATGCTGGACCTTCATTCTGTCAGAGCAGCTGGACAGAGCTAAGCTAGCTCACTAGCAGCAGTCAGCTCTGCTATAAAGGAGTCGGCTGGCAGACCGTCGGCCCTCAGGGACTGCTGCTCCTGTTCACTGCCTGCCTCTGCCAGGCCAGAAACTCAGCAGCTACGATCGAACATCAACGTCTTCAGACACACTGTGATTCCCTCCAGCAGGAAGGTGAAACGTATTTAGAAGCTGCTTCATACCGTTTGGGCTCTGGCTGTCCGTCACCACGCACAAAAGGTTTCTCCTCTGCAAGAGAAACAAAAGGAAAGATGTTAAATCTTACTTAGCTTTTCCATCCAGACAGAAAGGAAAGACTGAATCCAGGCAGCAGCAACGTCATGAACTGAGATATTCTACAGGGAAAGAATGACTGGGCTCTCCTCATCCTCTACAGGAAGTCCAAGCGCTTCTGGGCCCTTTTGACCAGTGAGGTGGTGTTTCCAGTCCAGGTGAGGGTGTCTGTGATGAATTTGGTGCTGTTGACCACCTCTACAGCTGAGCTGTTGATGAGCAGTGGAGCGTGGTTAGGCTAGTTCTTCCTGAAGTCCACCATGATCTCCTTCATCTTCTCCACCTTCAGGATCAGGCTGTTATCTCTGCTCCACCAGCTGCTCCACCTCCTCTCTGTAGTCCAGGTCGTTGTCGTCTCTGATGAGGCCCACCACCGTGGTGCCGCCTGCAAACTTCACCATGTGATTGGTGGTGAACCTGGGGACGCAGTCATGTGTCATCAGGGTGAACAGCAGGGGGCTCAGAACGCAGCCCTGAGGGGAGGGGCTTAGACTGATGACATCAGAGGTGTTCTGTCCGACCCGGACTGAATGAGGTCTGTTGGTGAGGAAGTCTAGCAACCATCTCTGCACGTTCTTCGATTATCCAGGATGTTGTCAGTGAAACTGCACTGTGAATGGAAGAAGTAGCAGGATGGACATCAGGCTAATGCTGAGTTCAGATGCAGATCCAGATCTGAGCACAATCAGAGCCGGCAGACAGGAGATAGCTCCTGATTAGCTGTTAGCACTGATCCAGCAGAAGCCAGCAGGGGTTAGGCTACAGCTATATGCAGAGTATGAATTTCTTTCATCATTCTGCTTCATTCTATCTCTATTCTCCCACTCTGCAGAATCTGTTAGTTCAATCTCTAACGTTCTGCTCTCTCTGCTTTTTCTCATAGTAGCTTCATCTGGTCTGTTCCTGTTTGGCTGTGACTCCATCCTGGAGAGAAATATCAGCTGTGCTGCTTCCATCAACGCCTTTGTTTATAGATGTTGGAGATCGGCCTGTTTTCCAGTGTGGTCCTGTTTCTCTGACTGTGACTAACTGGATGTGCTCTCTTCATCCTCTGACATGGGAGCTGGCTCAGAGCTCGTCTGCCTGGCTGTGTGTTTCCTGGACGGGGCCGCCTGTGGAGCTGGTTGACAGTTGCCTTTTATATCTATACTTCTTTTTCTATCTCTGCTTCTGTCTCCTTGAACCCCAGTGGGCCTCAGCAGATGGCCGCTCACACTGAGCCTGGTTCTGCTGGAGGTTTCTTCCTGTTAAAGGGAGTTTTTCCTCTCCACTGTCGCTACAAGCATGCTTAGTGTGAGGGATTGCTGAAGAGTCAATGAGTCGATGCAATCAGCTGGTTTTCCTTAGATAGAAAACTGAATCATTCTGACTGGATGATCTGGTGAACTGTAAACTGACCTGCGATGACATGATGGTGTTATATAAACTGAATAGAGTTGAATTAAAACAGGAAGTGACGCACAATGTTTTTATATGGGGGGGCAAAGAAAGGTAGACTGGAATAAAGTGGAGGGAAGCAGATAGAGGGACAGACCTTCCTCACCTCGATGGGCCTCCTCATCACTCATGGCTCCGTTTCCAGGGCAACCACAGACGCAGCGGATCCAGCGAACCACTTTCTGTTCAATCCATGCCTTCAGCCTCTTCAGCCGCTGTGATTCCAGCTAGCTGTTAGCCTAGCATGTTAGCAGCGGCTCATCACCGCCATCTTTGATCGACAGGAAGCGCTTTCATCCCCTGATTACCGTGGAAACTGTAAACATTCAGCTCCGAAGAAAATCCGTCCAAGCAGGGAGCTGATTGGCCATGAGCGGAAACACGTCATCAGCGCAGCGGAAACGACTGCCCACACACACACATATATATATATATATATATATATATATATATATATATATATATATATATATATATATATATATAGGTGATTCTTTAACTAGGGACACTTTTATGTACTTTGATCATATTTCAGGAACAAAATTAAAAAATGTGACATTTCACACCTTTATACTTATCTTTACAACGAAACTGTTTTAGGACATTTGTTTCAGTAGTCTGTAGTGACTTTTTCACCTTTTTTCAGCCTCATTTATATGTAAATATTACCGTTTCGTGCTTGTTCCACACTCAGACTTTTGATCTTCAATGATAAAAATGAACAGTTAAAAATTTTTTTTTCTAATGTTTTAAGATATTATTGAATAAAATATCAGTAAAATAATCAAACTATAATTTGAGTATTTGTCATACAACTGTTTATGTGATTTTATAAAGCAATTGTAGTTTTCCCACACTATTGTCGTAATTTCCACTACAACACTGTAATGTCCCTTTAAGAAGTTTCTGCGAAAGATTTCCATAAAGTTTTTAAAAAGAAAGGTTTGTTGTCTTTATGGTCCATTCATTGTAATTTCTACCATACCATTTGTTTTTAAAATAAATTGCTGCAAAATTCTAATCACTCATTAAAACCTTCATAACTTAAGAGATAATGTTCCACTTTAATTAAAAACACAAGTATTTACACCTTGAAATGTATCTTGCGATTCCAATGCTATATCTCAGGTTATGGCGAACCTAAGGTTCGCGTCTTGTCCTCATCACAATTCATTTACCTAATCTATAATTGTATGTGTTTAACAATAAAGACATAAACAGTTACTATATATGAAATTGTTCTTCCAGTAAAAAAAACATTATGCGAATCATAGTATTTTAGAATAAATGACAAATATTTATATGAGATGGAAATTACATGTGTGCCAGCAGAGTTGGGAAATCTGCTAAAAATCACAAATTTGTCTTAAAAAAAAATCAGTGTTTTCTCTTATAAATATTCAAACTAGACTAGTTATGCTAACCGATAACATTGTGAGAATTTATATATATATATATATATATATATATATATATATATATATTATATATATATATTTATATATATATCTAGCTAGAAGCAGGAGGTAGGAACAGGAGCTAGGAGGTATGAATTGTTCTTTGATCTGAGGACAGAAGCAGGAAGCAGACATGGTTCCTTTTCATGGTTTATTTAACGGGTGCAATATTCACAACAGAGTTGAGCTGAATGTGGATCAACTTTTCAGGACATGTTGACAAATATAGGAAACTAAACTGGTGTTAATGTGGTTGAATTGAAACGTTTTCCTCGGCCGCAGCGCTATGGAACCTGAGTGCTTCCTAGCCCCGCGGCATTGGCGTACGCCGCCAGCAGACTGGCCGCCTGCCGGGTTTCCAGCGTCAGCCTGGCCTCCGTCAGCCAGTCCTCCACCACTCTCCTGGCCTCTCCTCGCAGCTGGTTCACCAGTTTAGCCGCTAGCTCCAGGTCACCGTGCTCCAGGCAGTAGCTGGCATAGGACAGTAGCTTGAAGGGATCCAAATCCTCGCTGCGGAGCTGGGTGGGCGGGGCTTCCTGCTGCTTCTCAAACAGCAGCGCAGCTTGGAGGTAGGACAGGAAGTACTGGTACAAGGTGTTGTGGGATTCATCGATGAGAGCGACTCTGCGAGCGAGCGACCGCAGCGCGTTGAAACGAGCACGGAGGGAAGCCTCGCTGTACACGCCGCGCTTCAGCGATTCTTCAGGCAGAGCCGACGCCAGCGCCGAGGCAAAGTCGTTATCCGTGCAGCTGGCGCGCACAGCCTCAGCGGCGTCCTCCAGAGGCATACTGGGAGATTCAGCGCCTGCAGTTTTCAAGGCGTAATTGAGAGCTTCCACAGAGAGCCACAGCTGGTGAGCTTTCCGGGCCGCCGCCTCTGCTTCCACGTGGCCTGCAGGCAGAGCGGAGGGAGAAATAAGCACAAATCAGATCCACACAGAAACAGCATTCCCATTTCCTGTCCTCTATCAGACAGGCTAACATGGCCGCCACATCAGCGGACCTCACGGGCTCACACGCTATTCTACATCCTGCTGATGGTGGATCAAACGAACGTTCAACCAACCATTGGCTGCTGCGGAAAGACCAGTAGCTCCGCCTACTCAGCGCCGCTTAGAGCCACGGCTGAGGAGCGGACCGCAGCTTTGGTTCTGCTGTGATCTGATCAAAGCTAGCTGCCTGTTAGCTCTGTTAGCCTATCGTTTGTGGGGGCGCCCGGGGCGCGGTGGGCTGCCATTGTGCGGCGCCCGGGGAGCGATGCGCTGCCATTGTGGGGGACCTGGAGAACAGTGGGCTGCCATTGCGGGCACCTGGGAAAAAGTGGGCTGCCATTGTGGGGGACCTGAAGAACAGCTGGCTGCCATTGTGGGGCTCCCAGGGAGCAGTGACTATAATACATAAAAGCCCTTTAAAACTGTTTTTGTTGTTGATGGACTTTGATGAGGATCAATTATTGATTCTCATTCATGCTGATGATCAAACAGGAAGCAGCCAGAGGTGACGTCCAGCGGTTCCTCTGAACCGATTGGAGACAAGGAGCAGAACAAAGGAGGCGTGTCCCACTCTGAGGTCCGCTGTAGGTCTGGTCTTTGCTGCCTGCTCCTCCTTCAACAGTCAGTCAGACTCTTACTGTCTATGGCCTCCTCCACGCCCTTCAGCCTGGCGTAGGCGGCGTTCATGTCCAGGGTGAAGTTATCCAGCTGTTCCTGACTCAGCTGCCGGTACCGCGTCTCCTGCTCCAGCATCTTGCTGCTGAGGACCTGGAAGGAAGCAGCAGTTAGAACGCAGGCCGAGTCGTCGGACACGTGACAGACACGTAGCTGTTAACACTGAAACTCCAAAGGCCGTCATTTTGATGGTTCTGAGATTTTAAAGTAAAATAACTTTATTTAGATTCATTTCTTGTTGCTCATGTTAACTGACTTTTCCCGTTTCTAGATTTCCTTTATTTTCACCTTGTTCTTAAATAAAATAAAACCCGTTAATTTTACTTCGATCTCCCACAGCCGTCATTTTGACGGCTCTATTAGTTGCATTGTATTTATTGACTGTAACGTTGCCTAGCAAACAACCTCTGGGAAGAGGCTTCCCAGCATTCAATGCAGGACCAGCAGGTTCTGCAAATGCTTCTTCCCCACCGCCATCACACTGATGAACTGCTGAATGTGAATTTTTTTTAAAGTGGTGTAAATGTTCCTGACGACTCGATCAATTTTTGTAAATAAAATTTAAAACTTTGAACCCGTTTAGTAAAACAGTGTTTTTTATCTGACTGATTTATTTTAATACAAATTTAGACTTTAAAATGTAGATATTAGACCTGATTTAAGGTCTACTTATCCACAGGGGGTTTATATGGCCCACTAGAACCATTTCAGTCCATGACATCATCAGTACTCTTGCATTTCATTGGGTAAAATGTCATCCTTCAAACTGACGGGTGGTGGGAGTTCCACTCCCACTGAAGGAGCCAGACGGGGCCCAGCTCTGGGCTGAGGCAATCAGTGAGGACAGACAGACAGACGGAGTCTGAGAAGGAGAACCTGTTCAGCTTCCGCTCTGAGCTCCTGCTCCTGGACTTTGAGGACGTCTCGGACATGGTCGGTGTGGGCGGCGGCCTGACGGCGGAGCTGCGTCCTCATCTCTGCCTCGATCACTTCCCTCAACTCTGCGAGCTGCGAGCACAGGAGGAAGACAGAAGGGATGAGGAGATGCGGCGGCGCTGAGAAGCAGTCTGCCCTGCGTCTCCATCTGCACCTTCCTCTCCTGCTCCAGCCGCGCCTCCTCCTTCACGTGCTGCAGGGCGCTGCTCACGGCGTTCTCCAGGGATCTCTGGTCCTCTAGTTTCTGCTGCTCCAGCGCCGCCTGGATGTGGACCTTCTCTCGGACCCTCTGCTCCGCCAGCTCTCTGTTCAGCTGGTCGATGCGGCGATGAGCGTGAGCGATCAGAGCGTTCAGGTCGTCCGTGGACAGTTTGCCGGCTGCCAAACAGAGAGAAGGTGGGAGTTGGTCTGAGTGGCTCCAGCTCCTCCTGGAGGTCAGGTTCTGATTCTGCTTACCGAGTCCTTTCCAGTTAGCCTGGATCTCTGGAGTCAGGCTGCTCACCTCCCTCTGGAACTGCTGCTTGGCCTCACGGACCAGTTCGCTGTACTGGGCCACGATCTTTGCCTCCGACTCTGCAGACTGAACCTGCAGGAACAGGAGGGACCTTAAAGTTACTAAGTTTCTTTTTTTTTTTTAACGGCACTAGTGGCTAATTTTTTGGACAGTAGGCTCCTTAGATCTACTTTAGTCTCTTGTGTTCAGCGGAGGAGGGAACTGTTCAGATGCCTGGAAGAATGACACTTTTTGAGCTTTTTAAAATGAATCTGATACTTAACTCCTCCCATCAGCCGGTCTGTCTCACTTTAAGCTGAATGCTGCTGCTGCTTTCATTTGAAATGCTGAATCTACTGATCAGATTAGAGTAATTGAAAAAAACAGTGAGGTGTGGATCAGCTGACGAATGCAGCATCAGTCAGCAAGCAGAAAATCACCACAGATTAGAGGAAATATCAAATGTCTAATGCTCAGATTAAACTAGATTATTTTAATTCTATGGTTCTATGTTCCGACCCTGCTCAGATTAAACTAGATTATTTTAATTCTATGGTTCTATGTTCCGACCCTGCTCAGATTAAACTAGATTATTTTAATTCTATGGTTCTATGTTCCGACTCTGCTCAGATTAAACTAGATTATTTTAATTCTATGGTTCTATGTTCCGACTCTGCTCAGATTAAACTAGATTATTTTAATTCTATGGTTCTATGTTCCGACTCTGCTCAGATTAAACTAGATTATTTTAATTCTATGGTTCTATGTTCCGACTCTGCTCAGATTAAACTAGATTATTTTAATTCTATGGTTCTATGTTCCGACTCTGCTCAGATTAAACTAGATTATTTTAATTCTATGGTTCTATGTTCCGACTCTGCTCAGATTAAACTAGATTATTTTAATTCTATGGTTCTATGTTCCGACTCTGCTCAGATTAAACTAGATTATTTTAATTCTATGGTTCTATGTTCCGACTCTGCTCAGATTAAACTAGATTATTTTAATTCTTTGGTTTTATGTTCCGACTCTGCTCAGATTAAACTAGAATATTTTAATTCTATGGTTCTATGTTCCGACTCTGCTCAGATTAAACTAGATTATTTTAATTCTATGGTTCTATGTTCCGACTCTGCTCAGATTAAACTAGATTATTTTAATTCTATGGTTCTATGTTCCGACTCTGCTCAGATTAAACTAGATTATTTTAATTCTTTGGTTTTATGTTCCGACTCTGCTCAGATTAAACTAGAATATTTTAATTCTATGGTTCTATGTTCCGACTCTGCTCAGATTAAACTAGATTATTTTAATTCTATGGTTCTATGTTCCGACTCTGCTCAGATTAAACTAGATTATTTTAATTCTATGGTTTTATGTTCCGACTCTGCTCAGATTAAACTAGATTATTTTAATTCTTTGGTTTTATGTTCCGACTCTGCTCAGATTAAACTAGAATATTTTAATTCTTTGGTTTTATGTTGCGACTCTGCTCAGATTAAACTAGAATATTTTAATTCTATGGTTCTATGTTCCGACTCTGCTCAGATTAAACTAGATTATTTTAATTCTATGGTTCTATGTTCCGACTCTGCTCAGATTAAACTAGATTATTTTAATTCTATAGTTTTATGTTCCGACTCTGCTCAGATTAAACTAGATTATTTTAATTCTATAGTTTTATGTTCCGACTCTGCTCAGATTAAACTAGATTATTTTTATTCTATAGTTCTGTGTTCCGACTCTGCTCAGATTAAACTAGATTATTTTTATTCTATAGTTCTATGTTCCGACTCTGCTCAGATTAAACTAGATTATTTTAATTCTATGTTTCTATGTTCCGTTTCTTTGTGTTGAATTCTGGTCATTCTGTGAATGTGAGTTCATTAATAGTTGAACAGTGAAGATCCTGCAGACGTTCAGTTAGATTATAATCTGGCTGATCTATATGGTTATTTTAAAGCCTCTTATATCAGCCTTCTCAATCCCCTCCGTGTGGGAGGTCCAGTTAGGGATCAGAGCCTTCCAGGACAGCGGCTCTGATCCAGTCAGAAGTCTGGTCAGAACCGGCGTTACCTTGGAGACCACTTTGTCCAGGTCCACCATCATTCTATGCAGGTTCTCCTCTGCTGCCAGAACCAGGGGCCGCGCAGCCGGGAACTTCAATCCTTTGGACGAGTCGATCACAGCTTTCAGAGCGTCCAGAGCTTCACTGGGTCCAAATAAAGACAGTTTACTGTTAATCAATCTTGTTTGCAAAACAGCAAGACGAGTCTGACTCGGCTGAGTTAAAGGGGCCCAGTCAGAACCACCCATCCAACCCGGACCAGAGCTGCATCCCAGCAGCGCTGATCTGGGAGGAGGACGCAGTGGAACCAGTGGACGGCAGCCCTAAGGAGGCGATGGGGCGCCATGGTTTAACCAGAGAGTCTTCCTGGGCCCCTTTAAAAGCCTGAACAGGGATGGATCAACTAACTTGGCTTTGAGAAGAGCAGCTTTGGCGTCGCTCATCGAAGTGGTTCTGTCAGCGAGAGCAGCTTCTAGATCTTTCCACTGGGTCGACTTCTCCTCAGATGGAGCCTGGATTTAACAAAATATCAAATTCAACATAAGGAAACAGGATCCAGATGAAAACGATGCAGAGCCTTCTGCTCATTCTGACTTTAGTTATCAATTTTTTTGTTTTAAACAAAAAAATATGAAAATGGTTCCTGCCATTTGTTCAATGCTGGAACAGAGCAGTTCCTCAGCCAGCAGAGCTCCAGTTTCCCTCCATTTCATTTTTAGAGTGAAGATGTACCAACCTCTGCCTCCATTGCCTCCTTCAGCTTGTCAGTGTGCAGAGTGATGGCCTGCAGAGCTGCTTCCTGCGCACCGATGGCCTGCAGAGTAGCCTGAGCAGTGCTAGCCAGAGAGTCTTCCAGACTAGCTGATACAGCTGCAGGACAGAAGGACACATCATGGTAACCAATCCATTAGACACAGAAATGTTGCCGTGTTTCTAATGGACAGAAATGAGGCTGACCCTTTAAATTCAGCCGTGTTTCTAATAGACAGAAATGAGGCTGACCCTTTAAATTCAGCCGTGTTTCTAATGGACAGAAATGGGGCTGACCCTTTAAATTCTGCCGTGTTTCTAATGGACAGAAATGGGGCTGACCCTTTAAATTCTGCCGTGTTTCTAATGGACAGAAATGGGGCTGACCCTTTAAATTCTGCCGTGTTTCTAATGGACAGAAATGGGGCTGACCCTTTAAATTCTGCCGTGTTTCTAATGGACAGAAATGAGGCTGACCCTTTAAATTCTGCTGTATTTCTATTGGACAGAAATGGGGCTGACCCTTTAAATTCTGCCATGTTTCTAATGGACAGAAATGGGGCTGACCCTTTAAATTCGTCCGTGTTTCTAATGGACAGAAAATTCTGCCGTGTTTCTAACGGACAGAAATGAGGCTGACCCTTTAAATTCTGCTGTATTTCTATTGGACAGAAATGGGGCTGACCCTTTAAATTCTGCCATGTTTCTAATGGACAGAAATGGGGCTGACCCTTTAAATTCGTCCGTGTTTCTAATGGACAGAAAATTCTGCCGTGTTTCTAACGGACAGAAATGGGGCTGACCCTTGAAATTCAGCCGTGTTTCTAACGGACAGAAATGGGGCTGACCCTTTAAATTCAGCCGTGTTTCTAACGGACAGAAATGGGGCTGACCCTTGAAATTCAGCCGTGTTTCTAATAGACAGAAATGAGGCTGACCCTTTAAATTCAGCCGTGTTTCTAATAGACAGAAATGAGGCTGACCCTTTAAATTCGGCCGTGTTTCTAATGGACAGAAATGGGGCTGACCCTTTAAATTCGGCCGTGTTTCTAATAGACAGAAATGAGGCTGACCCTTTAAATTCAGCCGTGTTTCTAATAGACAGAAATGAGGCTGACCCTTTAAATTCGGCCGTGTTTCTAATAGACAGAAATGGGGCTGACCCTTTAAATTCAGCCGTGTTTCTAATAGACAGAAATGAGGCTGACCCTTTAAATTCGGCCGTGTTTCTAATGGACAGAAATAAGGCTGACCCTTTAAATTCGGCCGTGTTTCTAATGGACAGAAATTGGATGTTTCGGCTGATCTTTTCTTCAGCCGCTTTACATTCTAATTCCTTATTCTCTGTGGAGATTGTGTTTCACTTTCATAAACATCTAACCAGGGGATGAAAGAATGAATAATGGAGCCAGGGTCTTACATGCTAAGGTGTCTTTGTCTTCCTGGTCCTGTTGGGCCAGTCTAGCTGCCACCTCTTCCACTGGTCGCTCCTTTAGAGGTTCAGATGTCACTGCTGACTGCGCTTCGTGAGGGACAGATGCTGTTTCCATGGTAACATTATGATCGCTGCATTCCTTGCACTCCTCTGAGGACACAGAGACATCTTTTTAGCAGACGGGAGCCACCCAGCCAACAGCAGGTCTCAGTTGAGTTTCTATGGTGGAAATGAGGCTGGATGCCATCAGCTGGTTTTCCTTCTCTAGAATCTATGAACCTTTCTTTCAGTGAGCATCAGTGATACGTGACATGGTTTCAAATACGAGACACAGTACACCCACCCCATCCCAATAACCTGTTGGACACCAATCCAGTAAAAATACGGTAATAAAAGGTAATACAAAAAATAATAAGAACAGTGAAAAACAAATGCTGTCAAGCTTTACGGCAGGCCTCCAACTTTACAGCACCCTCTGCCAGCTTTACTGCGCCCTCTGCCAGCTTCACCACGCCCTCTGCCAGCTTTATTCCACCCTCTGCCAGCTTTATTCCACCCTGTGCCAGCTTTACAGCACCCTCTGCCAGCTTCACTCCGCCCTCTGCCAGCTTCACTCCACCCTCTGCCAGCTTTACAGCGCCCTCTGCCAGCTTCACTCCGCCCTCTGCCAGCTTTACCGCACCCTCTGCCAGCTTTACAGCGCCCTCTGCCAGCTTCACAGCACCCTCTGCCAGCTTCACAGCACCCTCTGCCAGCTTCACCGCACCCTCTGCCAGCTTCACCGCACCCTCTGCCAGCTTCACCGCACCCTCTGCCAGCTTCACCGCACCCTCTGCCAGCTTCACCCCACCCTCTGCCAGCTTCACCGCACCCTCTGCCAGCTTCACCGCACCCTCTGCCAGCTTCACTCCACCCTCTGCCAGCTTCACTCCACCCTCTGCCAGCTTCACCGCACCCTCTGCCAGCTTCACCGCACCCTCTGCCAGCTTCACCGCACCCTCTGCCAGCTTCACCGCACCCTCTGCCAGCTTCACTCCACCCTCTGCCAGCTTCACCGCACCCTCTGCCAGCTTCACCGCACCCTCTGCCAGCTTCACCGCACCCTCTGCCAGCTTTACCGCACCCTCTGCCAGCTTCACTGCACCCTCTGCCAGCTTTACCGCACCCTCTGCCAGCTTTACCTCACCCTCTGCCAGCTTCACAGCACCCTCTGCCAGCTTCACAGCACCCTCTGCCAGCTTCACCGCACCCTCTGCCAGCTTCACCGCACCCTCTGCCAGCTTCACCGCACCCTCTGCCAGCTTCACAGCACCCTCTGCCAGCTTCACAGCACCCTCTGCCAGCTTCACCGCACCCTCTGCCAGCTTCACTCCACCCTCTGCCAGCTTCACCGCACCCTCTGCCAGCTTTACCGCACCCTCTGCCAGCTTCACCGCACCCTCTGCCAGCTTCACCGCACCCTCTGCCAGCTTCACTCCACCCTCTGCCAGCTTCACCGCACCCTCTGCCAGCTTTACCGCACCCTCTGCCAGCTTCACTGCACCCTCTGCCAGCTTTACAGCACCCTCTGCCAGCTTCACCGCACCCTCTGCCAGCTTCACTCCACCCTCTGCCAGCTTCACCGCACCCTCTGCCAGCTTTACCGCACCCTCTGCCAGCTTCACTGCACCCTCTGCCAGCTTCACTGCACCCTCTGCCAGCTTCACCGCACCCTCTGCCAGCTTCACTCCACCCTCTGCCAGCTTCACCGCACCCTCTGCCAGCTTTACCGCACCCTCTGCCAGCTTCACCGCACCCTCTGCCAGCTTCACCGCACCCTCTGCCAGCTTCACTCCACCCTCTGCCAGCTTCACCGCACCCTCTGCCAGCTTTACCGCACCCTCTGCCAGCTTCACTGCACCCTCTGCCAGCTTTACAGCACCCTCTGCCAGCTTCACCGCACCCTCTGCCAGCTTCACTCCACCCTCTGCCAGCTTCACCGCACCCTCTGCCAGCTTTACCGCACCCTCTGCCAGCTTTACAGCACCCTCTGCCAGCTTCACTGCACCCTCTGCCAGCTTTACTGCACCCTCTGCCAGCTTCACTGCACCCTCTGCCAGCTTCACTGCACCCTCTGCCAGCTTCACTGCACCCTCTGCCAGCTTTACAGCACCCTGCCAGCTGGTTGTAGTTCTAACTGTGTTTGAAACGTTGGTCGTATTGGATCTTTTCATAAGATCAACTTCAAGGTGAGGATCAGTTACCTTTAGCCTGTGAGTCACACGGAGCAGGAACCGACTGGACCTCACTGATGGCCGAGATGATCTGAGTAGCTTCAGCTGAAGCTTCTGCTTAGGAAGAGAAACAGGAGGAGCGTTTAGCAGGAGAGCAGCTGCAGGAACCTTTGACAGCCTGATACCCACAAAACCCTGCTGACATTTGGTTACTTCAGCTATCTAAGCCTAATCTATGTTTTTATTTCTATCATAGAGTTTTACTTTAGCTTCCTACGATTAAAGCAGCACTAAGTAACGTTTTTACCCAAATCTAAGGTCATTTCTCACTATGTGCACTGACAGCTGTCCCAGCATGCACTGCGGCAGCAGCAGCTTCCAGGTTAGCGCTCACAGAGCTCAGAGCATTAAGTTAAAAGTTCACTTTTCTGTTGCTGTTGTTCAATAAAAGTAAGTTTTAAGATCAGGGCCAACGTGAGCCCGTCAGCGGCGGCCGGGGCCAACGTGAGCCCGTCAGCGGCGGCCGGGGCCAACGTGAGCCCGTCAGCGGCGGCCGGGGCCAACGTGAGCCCGTCATGTATACAGTTGCTACAGCGGGCACTGACCAACCCTGTGATGTCACCGTTTGAGGTACTGCAACATGGTGGCGTCCTTACCAAACAGGTATTAAACAAAGCTTTGTTTATTCTTTTGCTTTTATATTTTTCACATTTCTAATATAGTTATTGATAATAGTGATTCACACTATCTGGTGAATGAAGTTGGTTTGGTTGAACGGTTCATTTAAAACTGAGCCACTAAATTAGCCTGAGTTTAGGGTGTGAGGAGACGTGCTGCCATCTTACCCTGCATGCTGGGTGCAGGCGCTGCTTGATTGGACTCTGGGGCAGGAGGCTCCGCCGTCTCCTTTCCTGACTTGACTTTGGACGTCTTCATCTGCTTTTCCATCATGGACGGCGGCTGGATGGACTCCATCTGAACGACAAACATTCACACGCAGTTACAGAGCCTTTATTTGGACTTGTTCTGCGTGACCAATTAAAACGACCATGGAACAGAGCAAGCTAACGGATCCAAGCTAAAACCAGGTGATCAGGGTCAAAGGTGAAGCTCTGCTGTTGATCAGGTCCATGTTTAAACTACTGAAAGACCGACCAATCAGGCTGCAGAAACTTTCTGAAATTCTTTTCAGAAAGTTTTCTGTGTGAATTTAGCAGCTGTTATAGTTCAGAGACAGAAGCAGGTATCATCAGAGGGATTAAACATCCTAAAAACTCCAGTTAGCCAGTTGGATCCATGATTGTTATCAAGGTTATAAAGGAACAAAAACCTAGCCTAGTAAGCTAGCCCCACCCACCAGCGGCCAAAATAATTTTTTCCTGCGAGTGGTCTAGCCTCCATCAATGCCCCAGACCCTAGAACTGGAGGGCCAATCACAACGCAGAGATGTGTTTTGTATCTCTGGATGCAAAGTGGGCGGGTTTTGAGGGCGGGACAGGAAACCTGCACGATGCTGGAGAAAGCACAGCAAGGAAGATTGTACCAACTATTGAACAGTTCTGGTTTGACTCAGCTTTGGAATCAGTTCTGGAAGGATTAGACTTTGGGTTTTAGTTGAAACGTGAGCAGGAAGAAGCTCTACGCTCATTCATTTTCAAGAAGGACGTATTCGCCGTTTTACTGACAGGCTGTTTGTTTACACTCCCCCACCAACTTCCTGTCACGCTTCCTACGTCACAGTCAGTCAGTGGCGCTCATTGGTCAGAGCGTTGGCCAATAGGCACAGACATGGTTTGAAAGACAAATGGTTGTTTTCATCAACAATCTTCCGATGTCTGATTCATCGTGGGCCAGACTAAATTACACATTTAATCTCACATTTAGTCTGGTTTATCAGGCTAACAAAAACCGCCACTCAGACTCAGAAGTAATAATGGGTTAGTGTTTAAGACAAACAATAAGGCTGAAAACACGTCGGACTTTATATAAAGACCAGAAAACACTTCCTTCACTAGAGGCAACAACAGTTTGATCCTTTCCTCTGAAACAAGTCAAATAAAATGTTGATTGTTTGATGAATTTCATGTGCTCATTAACTCCTTCATTACTGGAACGGTGGGCAGCTATGCTTTCTTTTTAAATAAAACGCAGCTTTGTTTAAAGAGTCCAGATTACCTGCACCAGAACCATGAACCCAACTGAAGCTCTGAGTTATGCTCGGTTCCTGGAACCCAACCGGCTCCATCAACCTGGGGAGCCTGGGTTGTGTGTTTAGAACCAGGAGGAGACATGATGTGCAGGCTGAAGCAAACTGACCCGTTTCCTGACGGGGAGTCCTGAATCCCGAGGAGCCGGTCCCAGAGCCAGGCCCAGCAGCCAGTCTGAGTACGGGACGTTCTTCTCCACCGCTGCTCGAAACTTGGGATCCCAATTGGCGTAGAGAACCGTGCCTCCGATGCCGCCGCTCACCGTTAACAAGCCAGTGAAGACCACTCTGGAGGCGCCGCTGCTGTGGGGAGCAGAGACAGGAAGCCATCTTGGTACGAAAAAGCATCATGAGAGGAGGCTGAAGAGGAAAGCGACCGTTTCCATCATACCTGCTTCCTCCTGAGGCGTACCCCCTGCTCTGCTGCAGGTGAATCACACGGAGTCTCCCACAGTCCTTCTGCAAGGAACCAGGGAAAGAAAGATGGCAGTTAGAGGAAGGATCGCTAAGCTCTGGGCGCCGTTAGCTACGCTAACCTCCATCAAGGACGTACATTGATGTTTTTAGGCTTTAAACTCAAATATAGTTGTGGGATATTGATGTTTCCCAGGAACAGAACTTTAAGGAAAAGACTAATTCACATCGCAAACCTTTTCCCTCAAACATTTAATTTCAGCAAACAAAGGAACCAGGAGCTCTGCAGCTTCCTGGTAGAACCGAGCCGTTCGCCGTCAGCAGGAACCCAAAGCGATCATCATGAAACACCGAGGTCTGATGGAGGCTTTAGAGCTTTGATCATTGTTCTTATCATCTACGGTTTTATTATTACTCAGTTTGTCTAAAAAGGAAATTGGCGATCCTCAGAAGCTCCAACGTTTTCTTGGATGCATTTTGTAACAGATTGAGAGCAGAGAGCAGACCTGGAGGCAGATCCATGCTTGGTTTCAGAAAGCAGCTCCTTCAGCTCTGCTGTTCTGCTTCCTTTCTCCTGGTTCTCCTGTCAGAAGGCCTCCATGCCATCACCCTAATGTTCAGCAGCTCCCCTTCCTCCTCTGCTCTCTCTGCTCATTCTGATCCATCTGCTTCCCACTTTCACCGCATTACCAAACAACCACTGGAAACGGAACAGAAACCAGGCTAACGAGGCTACCAGTTACCACAGGCCGATAGTAACTAGTTAACAGAGACTGATAGTAACTAGTTACCAGAGGCATGTAGTTACTAGTTAACAGAGACTGATAGTAACTAGTTACCAGAGGCATGTAGTTACTAGTTAACAGAGACTGATAGTAACTAGTTACCAGAGGCATATAGTTACTTGTTAACAGAGACTGATAGTAACTAGTTACCAGAGGCATATAGTTACTTGTTAACAGAGACTGATAGTAACTAGTTACCAGAGCTAATCAACCCTAGGCTGATACTAGTTACCAGAGGCCGATGGTAACTAGTTACCAGAGCTGATCAACCCAAGGCTGATACTAGTTACCAGAGGGCGACGGTAACTAGTTACCAGAGCTGATCAACCCAAGGCTGATACTAGTTACCAGAGGCCGATGGTAACTAGTTACCAGAGCTGATCAACCTTTACTTTATATCTTCAGATAGTTATTTCGTTTATATATGCAGGTAGTTATAGTTATTGTTAGTAGAGTTCTAAGTTGTTTTTCTATTTGATGGCTGTGATCTATGATAATAGACTTCCAGGCTTAGATCAACTTTTCTAGCACTCAGTTTGGATCTATGAAAGTTCCTCATTATAGAAAATAAGAGGCAGTGGAAGGAAAACTGGATGAGACAAGATCTGCATGATCTGAGAATGATGGAGGAAGAGAGAGCCGCCTGTTTAATCGGCTTTATTAGCTGGTTTTTACTGGTAGCTCCAAATATTGTGGAGATTAAACTTTTAGTATTTAATCAGGTGAGATAACAACAATAATAATCATCATCATAATAATATTAATAATCTTAATAAGCCTGATGAGATTCTATGTGTTTGGAGGGATTTTGTTTGGATTGTGTTTATTTTAGATAACTGAAAAGGATAGGGGTTAAACTTTATCGATCTACAGAAATTCCCTCTGCATCTAACCCCTCCCCTTGGGGAGCAGTGGGTTGCCATTGTGTGGCACCTGGGGAGCAGTGAGGGGTTAAGGGTCTTGCTCAGGGACCCAGAGTGCAGTCTGTGGGGATGGAACCCGGTACTGCAACTCTAACCTCTAGGCCACCATTCCTCCAGACTGATAGAAAGCAGACTGAATGAGAGCGGCGGGAAACAGGACCACTGATGGAAGCGTTTAACAGAGAGCAGGCAGGAGTCAGCTAGAAAGAAAAGCAGATGGAGAGGCTGAATGGTCAGATGGCACTAATAAACACCATTAATCTGATGAAACAGGAGAGGAACCTTCCTCGATTTCACCCTTCTTGTTGTTCAAATATTTATAAACATGTAAAAATGGATGAAAGCATCACTGTCTCAGTTTCTCCTATTTTAATTTTGATAAGTTTTTATTTCTATGTATGGGCTGAAATGTCTTTAGGTTGGATTTCAGGGATCTGGTCACTTAATGTTTTATCTGCTGCGTCACAACTGGCCATAAGAACCTCCCAGCTGCCCCACTTAGGACTGAGGCAAGGCAAGTTTCTTTGTATAGCACAATTCAGTACAAAGACAATGCAAAGTGCTTTACATGATTAAAATATAGGAAAATACAACAGAATCCAAGCAAGTAGGACAAAAATTTAAATAAAATAGAAAGTGCAGAAACAAAAAAGAATATTAAAAACAGTTGGACTAAAGAAAATAAAGTTGAACTAATAATGTTTTAGTTGAACTGTTTAACTAGAACAGTGGAAGGCAATCCTAAACAAATGTGTTTTTAGTCTTGATTTAAAGGAACTCAGGCTTTCTGCACTTTTACAGTTTTCTGGAAGTTTGTTCCAGATAAGTGGAGCATAGGAACTAAATGCTGCTTCTCCATGTTTAGTTCTGGTTCTAGGTCTGCAGAGCAGGCTGGAGCCAGAAGACCTGAGTGGTCTGGAGGGTTGATACACTCATAGCAAGTCTGTGATGTATTTAGGTGCTAAGCCATTCAGAGATTTATAGACTAACAGAAGTATTTTAAAGTCTATTCTCTGAGATACAGGGAGCCAGTGGAAGGACTTTAGAACTGGGGTGATGTGCTCTAATTTCTTAGCCTTAGTGAGGACACGGGCAGCAGCGTTCTGGATCAGCTGCAGCTGTCTGATCCACTTTTTAGGCAGACCTGTGAAAACACCGTTGCAGTAATCAATTCGCCTGAAAATAAACGCATGGATTAGTTTTTCCAGATCATGCTGAGACATTAGTCCTTTAATCCTGGAAATGTTCTTCAGGTGATAGAAAGCCGACCTTGTAATTGTCTTTAAATGCTTTTGGAGGTTCAAGTCTGAATCCAGCACTACACCTAGATTTCAGGCCTGATCAGTGGTTACTAGCTGAAGCGACTGAAGCTGTGAGCTAACTTTAGATCTCTCCTCTATTGGTCCAAAGATTATTACTTCAGTTTTGTTTTTATTCAGTTGGAGAGAATTCTGGCACATCCAGGCATTGATTTCTTCTAAGCATTTCCTCAGTGCTTGAATTGGTTCATAGTCACCTGGTGACATGGTGATGTAAAGCTGTGTGTCGTCTGCATAGTTATGGTAGCTGATGTTGTTGTTTTTATTAACTGAGCCAGAGGGAGCATGTAGATATTGCACAGGAGGGGACCCAGGATGGACCCTTGGGGAACCCCACATGTGATTTTTGTCATCTCTGATGTAAAGTTGCCTACTGATACAAAAAGTCTCTGTCCTTTAAACAGGATTTGAACCAGTTGAGAGCTGTACCAGAGAGGCCCACCCAGTTTTCCAGGCGCTCTAACAGAATGGATTGATCTACAGTATCGAATGCTGCACTGAGGTCCAATAGTACCAGCACTGTGGTTCTTCCACAGTCTGTTTTTATACGGATGTCATTAAACACCTTGATAAGGGCGGTCTCTGTACTGTGGTGAGCACGGAAACCTGACTGGAACACGTCAAAGCGGCTGGTCACATCTAAGAAAGTGTTTCATTGTTGAAACACAGCTCGACTCTAAGTGTATATTGAGTCACTGAGGGGGTCTGAGGGTGACTGACAGGGTCTGAGGGAGACTGAGCGGGTCTAAAGGGGGACTGAGGGGGTCTGAGGGGGACTGAGGGGGTCTGAGGGGGACTGAGAGGGTCTGAGGGAGACTGAGGGGGGACTGAGGGGGTCTGAGGGGGACTGAGGGAGACTGAGAGGGGCTGAGGGAGACTGAGAGGGGCTGAGGGAGACTGAGAGGGGCTGAGGGAGACTGAGAGGGGCTGAGGGGGAGTGAGAGGGGCTGAGGGAGACTGAGGGGGAGTGAGTGGGTCTGAGGGAGACTGAGGGGGACTGAGGGGATCTGAGGGAGACTGAGAGGGGCTGAGGGAGACTGAGAGGGGCTGAGGGAGACTGAGAGGGGCTGAGGGAGACTGAGAGGGGCTGAGGGAGACTGAGAGGGGCTGAGGGAGACTGAGAGGGGCTGAGGGAGACTGAGAGGGGCTGAGGGAGACTGAGAGGGGCTGAGGGAGACTGAGAGGGTCTGAGGGAGACTGAGAGGGTCTGAGGGAGACTGAGAGGGTCTGAGAGGGACTGAGGGGGACTGAGGGGGTCTGAGGGGGACTGAGGAGGTCTGAGGGGGACTGAGGAGGTCTGAGGGGGACTGAGGAGGTCTGAGGGGGACTGAAAGGTTTTGGGGGGGACTGAGAGGGGCTGCGGGAGACTGAGGGGGAGTGAGTGGGTCTGAGGGAGACTGAGAGGGGCTGAGGGAGACTGAGAGGGGCTGAGGGAGACTGAGAGGGGCTGAGGGAGACTGAGGGGGTCTGAGGGAGACTGACAGGGTCTGAGGGGGAGTGAGGGGGACTAAGCGCAGACATGCAGCTGATTAATGTTTAAAGGGAAACTATAATGAGAGACAAGCAGAAATCAGAGCAGCAGCAGCAGGAGGATGAAGGTTAGCGGGCAGAGAGCAGCTCTCTGTAGCACCTTGAGCCAGGCTGCGGGTCACTGAATGACAACAAGCTAGCAGCTAGCAGCTAACAGCTCAGACCTACCCGGGCTGAAGCCTTCACTCCTCGCAGACAAACCCTCAACATGGTCCCGCTTTCTTTCTCCAAAGGTCGAAGCAGGAACAGCAAACAGCGCCACTAAGCTCAAGCTTCTCGACAGGTTCTGCTCAGGCTGACATTTACCCGCATTTGACCGGAATGACAGCCTCTTCTTCGCTGCGGTACGCTCACTTCCGGTTGACGACTCAGCCTGTAGACACTTTGCTGCCACCTAGTGGGCTGGAAAAGACCTGCCCCCCTAAGGGCTGGTTTTACTCCCGCAACATTCACTGTCACTGCGCAGAAATCACGGGCGCCATCTTGGGGAGGTCGACATGCTACACTAAGCTAAGAACAGATGAAGAACAGTAAAAGGATGCCTCAGCACTGCAGAGTATTTTAGTATAAATCAACAGACTGTTGACATCAGGGCTGGAGGAATAACTTCATAAAAACATCAGGGCTTTGGAGCCGTCACTGAATAAACAGCATTTATACACATTGAATATATACACATAGAGTATACATACAATATATACACATTGAATATATACACATAGAGTATACATACAATATATACACACTGAATATATACACATAGAGTATATACACATTGAATATATACACATACATTATATACACATAGAGTATATACACATACAGTACATACACATACAGTATATACACATTGAATATATGCACATAGAGTATATACACATAGAGTATATACACATATAATATATACACATAGAGTATACATACAATATATACACATTGAATATATACACATAGAGTATATACACATATAATATATACACATAGAGTATATACACATATAATATATACACATAGAGTATACATACAATATATACACATTGAATATATACACATAGAGTATACACACATGCACTGTACAGTCTGATCCTCCAAAGACCCAGTAAATCAGGACCGGATCCTCCTGGACTGGATCCTCCTGAACCAGATTCTGCAAGGACCCGGTCTACCTGGACCGGAACCTCCTGGACTGGATCCTCTGAGGACACATAGAATATATACACATAGAGTATATACATATAGAATATATACACATAGAGTATATACACACTGAATATATAGAGTATATAAAGTATATATACATAGAATATATACACAGAGTATATACACATGGAATATATGAACATAGAGTATACACACATGTACTGTACAGTGTGATCCTCCAAGGACCCGGTCTATCTGGACTGGATCCTCCAAGGACCCGGTCTACCTGGACTGGATCCTTCAGGGACCTGGTCTACCTTTCGTCTTTTATATTGATTCCTTCAATAAATGTATTTATAAGCTTAGAAACTGGAATATAAATGCGGAAACCATATATAAAAAAACTGATAATTGTTTTTGGGATATAATTTGTCCATAATCCTGCGGTGAGAATTAGGGATTAAATTAATCCTTTTAAACCATCCAATGACAATAACCCTCCATCACTTCTCCCTGCTGTTCTGTGTTCATAACATTTCTGAGGAGCTTCAGCAGCAGTACCGTCGTCTCAGATATCAGATTTATAGTCCCCACCCTGCAAACTTCCTTTTTCAGATAAAATAAAAAAATTTCAGTTTTACTTTTTTGAACAAAATGTCAGCAGTTTAGCTCCGTAAGCTAGCACTAGCTAAACTTCAGTGTCTGGTTCTAAAATGAAACGACTGGAAAAATAAAATCTATCTAGATAAAAAATCTAAAGGTTGCCCAATCATTTTTCCATGACTGCTTTTCGTCTTTAACATTTTTATCTTTTAGACCTGATCATTGGTTTTCATAGATGAATGCATCTTTTCCAGGGGATCAACAGCCAGACCACTCAGGTCTGCTCCGCAGAACCAGAAGCAAACATGGAGGAGCTTTGAGTTCTCTGCTAATCTGGAAAAAAACTCCCAGAAAACTGTCCAACAGCTAAAAGCCTGAGTAGCTTTAGAGTTTAGAGAACCCTTTGACTGAAACATGTCTAATTTTTATTTATTTTCTACTGGGAAGTCCTTTTCCTGAGGCTGAATCCTGCAGGTCAGTGACTGGAACCAATCAGCTGGCTCCTTTACTTAGAACAAACCCTTCAGCCAGTTCTAGGATCAGATGAAATCATTGGATCCATAGAATCAGCTGCAGAGTTGTTTTATTTCTCCACAGGATTAATAAAGTATATTTAAATTGAGTTAAATGAGGTTTACATCTAAAATGAGAAGAAAAACAGACAAAGGTTTTCAGTGCGTTCTTTTATTTAAAACATTTCCAACAGCAATAAACAGCAATAAGAAACAAGACCGGAAAAAAAAAAAAGGAATCAATGCAGCTGAATTAAAACATTTTCCAAACCTTCCCTCAGAGGAATCATTAAAACTAAACACCTTTTCTTTCCTCAAACTGAAACCTTCTACCAGAAACATGCAGGACAGACGCTGGACGCCTCCTCCAGCAGTGAAGAAGAACACATGAAGCTCGGCTGCTTAGAAGTGCTCCTGTGGTTCACTGGAACATCAGCAGTCACCGACTGTCCACCTCCTGCAGACTGTCCACCTCCTGCAGAGCAAACCTCCAGCAGCAGGGGGTGCTGCTGAGACGCTCTAGGCCACGCTGGGATCCTCCGTCTTCTGGACTTTAACTGGAGTAGCTGAGCAGTCCTGGTCAGAAGGAGGAGACGCAGCATCAGAGCAGCTGAAGGCCCTTCATACACATGGTGACCACAAGGTGTCGCCAAACAGGAGCCTCCTCTACTGGCTGGATTCATCTAGAAACATTAGCTTAATCTGGTGGTGATGGGATTAACAGTCTGAGGTTAACTGGAGGTTACTGAGGCGTTCACTTAATTTAAACAGTATTTAAAGGAAGAGTTCTTCTATTCTCTGTTCTAAGATGGCTGCCGCTCGGAGGAACCCTGCAGCTCCAAGGTTCCCTAACCAGCTGAAGGTTAGCGCCGAATTATTCTGGAAAACAAACCTTTAAACTTTCTGCCCAAACACGGGAGCCGCCGCCACCTAATGATGGCGTTGGTAGAAAAGAGCAATGATGCTGAGTCATGGCGGGGGCGGGGCCTATCTCTAGCTGTCCCGTTTCTCCCTCTTTCATTTCAGCCTGTTTCTCTGTCCTTCCCAGTCAGGAAGCCAGTCAGATCGGCGGCATCATGTGGAACAGCCAGACTGACGTTCAGTCAGTAACCGTAAAGACTATAAAAGCTGTGCAGCTCAACCAGAAAGTGCTCACTGAGATTTTACTTTTTTCTGTTTTGGTCTCAGTTTCAGGTCCGGACAGAGGTCCGCCTATTAGTGACCCCTGGTTACTTTCAATCAGGACTCACTGACGCATGCTAACAGGTTAGCAGGAGTAGCAATGTTTACAACTGGACATTTGTTTATATAAACCTGAACACATTAAAGACTAACGACATGAAAAATGATCCAATTCACAGAGGAAAGCAGAAAAACATGGCCGACATTTTGGCTTTAATCTGAAACGTCTCCAGATGAATCCTTAATCTGGAAAAATCTGAAAAACAGAGGAAGGACAGGAACAGGAGCAGGAAGGACATGAGGAAGGAGAGAAAAGGAGCAGGAAGGAGAGAACAGGAGCAGGAAGGACACAAGGAAGGAGAGAAAAGGAGCAGGAAGGAGAGAACAGGAGCAGGAAGGACACAAGGAAGGAGAGAAAAGGAGCAGGAAGGAGAGAACAGGAGCAGGAAGGACACAAGGAAGGAGAGAAAAGGAGCAGGAAGGAGAGAACAGGAGCAGGAAGGAGAGGAGGAAGGAGAGAACAGGAGCAGGAAGGAGAGGAGGAAGGAGAGAACAGGAGCAGGAAGGAGGAGGAAGGGGAGGAGGAAGGACCCGCGTCCACACAGGACAGGAACCCACCTCTACCACAGAAGAAGACGGGGCGTCCTGAGGGTCGGCCAGGGTAGGGAAGTCCAACTCGATGTCCACCATGTCCTCCAGGTCCAGCTCCTCTCTGCAGACACGTTAGCATAGCACGTTAGCAGCCATGGTGCAGGGCAGACATTGTTAAGCTGGTTTTATAATCCGTTCTTGTTCTGGATAAATCCCATCATCTAATAAAAAAACAAACATGTCCGCAGGAAACTGGCAGCTATTAAAGCCGCAGTCTGACCTTTGACCCCAGTCTAAGCATCCTTTCAGATCCCTCGGCTTCGTCTCCTGTCGCTCCCCTTAAACACCGATGCTAACTAAGCTAACAGCAGTTAGCCTCAGCTGAATGTTTCCTCAGACTGGGCCAATACCAGAACCAGAACCTTCCTGAACTGGAGCAGACTGAAGAACCCAGATTCCTGACCAAAGCCTGCAGTGTTTCCCACAGGATTTTAGGAGACTGAGGTGGGAGAGTCTCTGACCCTCGGGGGTTTTGCACACTTTTTAAGCGTGGTGTATCCCACTTAGAGGGGAACACCGTTTTATTTACATTGGGCCCTTGATTTTACAGTTTTCCATCATGTTCTACTCACCCATAATAGTTTTTTATCATTTGGAGCTGTTCTGAAGATATTCCATTATATCCAAGTAACGTCTTCCTATGAGCAACAACTTGAAGAACACGTAGGCCAATCACTGTCCTATCTATTTTCGACCAAATAACATTTACATCAACATGCTGCAGCTCTGACTGCAGCCCTGAGAGGGAAGGGGTGGGGACGGGGAGGCGCCCCACGGCAGCACCTGCTGCTGGAGGACAAGATCTGGAACGATACGTGCTTTCACGCAAGGGTCTCCAAAAGCCTCCATCGACACCAGAAAAGTCGCTAGATTTTTTGTGGAATGGTCTGAAACTGACAGATCTTTTTGTTGTTGTTTTCTCTCTGTGTGTCTCATTCATTAACGGGAAACACCGCGCCCGGCTGGGTTAACATTCAATCTAGTTCTAGTAGACTGAGCTCTACGCTGTCGGCCATGATGGATCCTTCCTCACATGCTCAGCAGATTATTATTGATTGTAAATAATAATAATAACAGCTGCTTTGCGTACATGTTGTCGCTGAGGCTGTTCTCCTGATTGCCCCCTGCTGGCGGGTCCCAGGCGTGCAGTTTGACCCTCCACAGCTTGATCTGCTGGTCCCAGGAGCGCCGGCTGTACTTCCTGAACTTGTTGGGCGTCTTTGGGTGAACGCCCGGCTGCCGCAGGTGCCTGAAAACACAAAGTTCGCCCG